TCTGACAGTTTCTGTAGGGCTGTTATATGTTACTCCAGATTAAATTAGGGTTCACAGTTAACTATGGGTTTCACGAGAGAGAGGTAGCCATGGGGGTGGTGACACCAGGAGCTTCCAGAGGCACGGAGACGCCGCACATTGGCGTGTCGAGGATTCAGACCTTGGGTCTCGCGCATCTTTCGGGCATTAGACGCGGGAAGATGCGGGGTCCTACACCCTATATTAGTCTGGCTAGAGGTAAGACCAGACGACGCCGGCGGCATGCACGACATACGCCGTATCGTCACAGTTGTATATACTTTCTCTTCTACTTTTCTTCTACTTTTCTCTTCCCTAGATGTCTTTCCCCTCCTTTGTTTATTTATCCCGTGGGGGTGGGGTGGGGGGGACCGGGGCCCGGGGGGAGCGGCACGACCTACTGGGCCAGCGTGACTATACAGGCGGGTTCATGACGCTGCAACTTACTACATTAAACGTGAAAGGGCTCAATGCACCATGGAAAAGGCGGTTAGTATTTAGGGAACTCAAACGGATGAGAGCAGATGTGGCCTTCATCCAGGAAACGCACTTGCCAAAACACGCGGGGTTTAGGTTACGAGACCACACCTATTCCACGGCGTACGAAGCACGGGCGCTTCGTAAACAAAACGGAGTGGCCATCTTGATCCGGAACAGCTGTCCGATGGCGATTACGTCATCTGACTGTGATCCGGAAGGGAGGTATGTCATTGTCACTGGTACGTTGCATTCACGCACGATACATTTAATAAATGTCTATGCTCCGAATCAGATGGCGGCCGGGTTTTGGGAGGTGTTGCTGGAGAAGATCCGGAATCTGCCACGGGGCATGCTAATCATGGGGGGGATGACAACGCAGTGCCGTACCCTGCCGTGGACAGGAGCGCACATGGGGGGGTACCTAGATCCCAGGGGCGGGGGAGCCAAGACCGGTGTTTTTACAAATTTCTGACGGAGGCGGGGCTGGTGGAAGTCTGGAGGGCACGTCATCCGAGCACGGTAGATTATACGTTCTATTCGGCCCCACATGGCACATACTCCAGAATAGATATGTTCCTAGTTAATGACAAATGCCTACCTTACGTCCAGAGTTCAGAGATTGGGCCCATAGCATGGTCCGACCATGCGGACGTATCTCTCACGTTGGGGAGCCTGGGGCTAGCTACTCCCTGGACTTGGAGGCTTAACTCCTCCCTATTGAGGGACCAAGACATCGTCGACCAGATTCGGACTGACCTACTAGACTATTTCGAGACTAACGCCACTCCTGACATGGGTCCGGAAACTATATGGGCGGCACACAAGACAGTGATACGGGGCTCTCTCATCAAGATAGCGACTGCTAGGAAGAAAAACAAATTCCTCAGACTGACTACCTTACTGACTGAGCTTAGGAGGGTAGAACAGCAACATAAACACAGACCCGACGACGGGACATTCCGACAGCTGGAGGCTAAACGACATGCCATCCGCTCCTTACTACTAGATGACTCGGCTAAAGCCATGACATGGTCCAAACGCACCTTTTATGAAAAGGCAAATAAGATGGACACGTTATTGGCCAGAGTCCTTAAGCCTAGACTGTGAAGCGGGCATATCACTGCCATACGACACTCAGACGGCTCCATTAAAACTCTGCCCACAGAGATCGCAGACGTATTTACTGACTTCTTCAAAACACTCTACAACCACTCTTCGAACACAGCAACGCAAGTAGCGACAGACACTGCACTGACACTTAATTTCCTCTCCAGTCTGGATCTACCTAAATTATCTCCAGAGGCGATTGGCAGATTGGCAGGAGAAATTCTCCCAGAAGAGGTGGACCGGGCTATCTCGGAGTTGAAAAGCAATAGGGCCCCTGGACCGGACGGGTATGATGGGACTTATTATAAGACCTTTAGGGAGGAACTGACGCCCCACCTGACAGCACTTTTCAACGGGTTCAGAGGGGGACACACACCAAATCATGACATGTCTTTAGCTACCATTATCTTACTACCTAAACCCGATAGAGACCCGCTCCTCCCTGAGAGCTATCGACCCATATCTCTTATTAACCATGACATGAAAATTCTCGCAAAAATACAGGCGAATAGAATTAACCCGTATCTTACAGATCTAGTCGATTCGGACCAGGTAGGCTTTATTCCCGGTAGGCAATTATTTGAGAATACTTGCAAAAATATTGATCTCATATGGAGACAGGCAACCCTAAATACCCCAACCTTATTGCTTTCGCTCAATGCTGAAAAAGCATTTGATAGGGTCCAATGGCCGTACTTATTCACGCTCCTCTCACATCTAGGCTTCCCGGAACAATCTATAACAAATCTATAACATTAATCAAAGCTATGTACACCAATGTACAGGCCCAGGTGAAAATAACAGGTGCCCCACTCAGGCCGTTTGAACTCCACAATGGTACGGGATGCCCGCTCTCCCCTTTGTTGTTTGTACTGTCACTAGAACCTTTACTGCAGGCGTTGAGGAAGCACCCGGACATCAGGGGTGTGAGGGCGGGGGGGAGGGAGTTTCTAGTATCGGCCTATGCGGATGACGTGCTCTTGACGGTCACCAGCCCCCTAAGCTCCATGAGAGCCCTCCAGGATGTCCTGCGAGAGTACGGACAGTTAGCTGGCTATAGGGTGAATATGGCTAAGTCCAGTGCCCTGCCGATCAATATCACGGGTGGAGACATCACTTCCATTCGGAGCACATACGGATTAAAGGTGGTACACCAATCGCTTAAATACTTAGGGATCCGCCTAACAGCACACCCAGCACAGTTATACAGCCAAAATTACAGACCACTAATTAAGAAGTTAATTAACGAGCTAGAGACTTGGTCGGACAGACCTATTTCCTGGATAGGCAGAGTCCACGCGGTAAAAATGAATATACTGCCGAGGATCCTGTTCCTATTCCAAACTCTACCAATCCGGGTGTTGAAAGGGCAACTACTGCCGCTGCAACGGGCAATAGGGACATTCATTTGGAACTCTAAACGCCACAGGATCTCGAGATACGTTTTGTATCGGCCAAAAGATAGAGGGGCTTGGGCCTCCCTAGTCTATATTTTTATTATGTAGCAAGCCAATTAGCACAGGTAGCAATGTGGCACTCACCCCCGGGGGATAGGAAATGGGTTGATTTAGAATCACTTATGGTGGGAGCGGACCTCCCACAGCTTCTTATCTGGGTGCCAAAGCCACATAGACCCCAGATCAGAGTCACCTGCCCAGCCATTCTTAATTCCATCAGGTTATGGGACACCATAGCACATAAATACGAATTAGCCTCGGACCCTTCTCCCCTTATGCCATATCTCCGTAACAAGGAATTCCCTCCGGGCATGGCGGCCAGAGATTACCGGAATTTGGAGAGGGTAGGGCTCCAACGCATATGTCAGTTATTCCAGGGTGCAGATTTCCTCCCATTCGATGCCCTACGACAAAAAGGGCACCTTACTCCAGCGGACTTTTTCCGCTACCTCCAAGTCAAAGACTATGCAAAGCAGCCCCATATACAGGCAGCGGCACAACAGACGATGACATTCTTTGAACGCATATGCATACAGGAACGGATGCCCAAGGGCCTGATTACGATCTTATATAAGCATCTATCACAAGAAACTAAGGAATGGGGCAGCCTTAAATATATAACCCAATGGGAAAGAGATCTGGGGGAAGAACTAGAGGGAGTAGAATGGCAAGAAATATGGGAGGCCAATCATACCTCTTCGGTATGTGTCACCATGCAAGAGCAATCCGTGAAAACAATGCTCCGATGTTACACCACCCCCACCCAGCTGTACCATATGAAGAAGACTCCCACGGACTTGTGCTGGAGGGGGTGTGGTATCAAGGGAACATATAGGCATATGTGGTGGGACTGTCCGGTGATACACAATTTCTGGACGCAGGTTAGAGGAATGATAACCCAAGTCTTTGCCCGGGCCCCAGAGTTAGACCCATGGGTTTACTTATTAAGCAGATCGTTAGAGGGGTGGACCCGGAGGGAACAAAAACTCCTCCATAAAATCACATTGGCAGCACGGCGTGCCATTGCTGCAAGCTGGCTAAAACAAACGGCCCCCACGACACAAGAGGTTCTCAATAGAATTAAGGAAGTGCACCTAATGGATGACTTAACTGCCCGAATAAGGGATACCCACCAGTCCTTTCAGAGGATCTGGGAGCCATGGGAGAATTCCCCACTAGGAATGTAGCGTGAGGAGAGGAATGTGGCCCCTCACCCCCTGCCGCTCCCTTCCCCCCGTCCCCCCCCCCCCGTCTCCTTCTTTTCCTACCAACCTGTCACCCCACTTTTCTATCTTTCTATCTCCTACGCACCAATTGCTTCGTTACCCTACATCCATGGGGCGCACCAGGCAGATATGGGAATTGAAGTCTCCCACTGACTTTACCGCAGGGACACCAGTAATTTTCTCTAGACAGCGATAGGGATAGCCCGTTGGCGGAAGAGAACGCCATAACATAGACAAAGGGGTGGCCACGGTCACGTAGGCAAGACCACTACTGGGGTATATCCAACTATTGATCTGTCCTGCTGGAGGGAATTGGCGGGAGGGAGAGATACCGATGGAGGGCCCATGGCCCGGGCGGAGCAGAATGGCCTACGTTGCGGGAGTTGGAGACAAACATGGTTGTTGTATTTGTTGTGTTCTTTTTTTTGGTCTATTGTTTCTGTCTGCATATCTCATGTTTGGTTAAAATAAGAAAACTGGCATTGGCAAGGAAAGCGAGAGCGGGAGAACCGGGGGGACTCATGAGCAATTCACGGACTCGGAGCTATACACAGTGGGGTATAGAAGTGGAGAGGCAGTCTGCCCTAGTGTGGATGGGGGGTTTGATATGGGATGTGAATGTTATGCCTGTAACGGATATGATTATTACCTCTGAACATCAACATGCTATGCCAATGCTAACTGTTAAATAAAGAATAAAAAAAAAAAAAAAAGGATCCTAACCTGACAACCAAGGTATTGTTTTATTTTATTGCTGCAATACCCGTTTCTCGCCTCTAGTGGCCTCCCTAACCACTAGTCAATCCTCAGTTTCTCTCACCTGCCTCATATGATCTTCCAAGTCTGCTATAAAAGACCACACCTAACTCTTCACATGGCCTTTACAATGAAGTCAGTGTTCTGACATGGAACTTCTGATCCTGACTCCTGAAAACATCCTGATCCTCCTGAAACTCCTATCTTCAACTACTGCAAACCTGCAAGATCCTGTAAGCAACCTGTAATTCTTTATACTGGAAACTACTTACCTGTTTCAACTGCTGCGACACTGCATGATCCTGTAAGCAACCTGTACGGTATTCTACTGAAAGTACTTACCAGCTTTAACCCTTTCAACCCTGTATCATCCTGAACCTGGCTGCAGTGTGACATTCCACAAACTACTAATCTATTTAGGAATAACATCAAACCTACTTGTATATAAAATACTTTATTCATTTACTTTCAAGATATTCTGTTTGTGGCATATTGCCTTAATTCTTTATTTCAAGTAAATTGTTATATCTAAAAAGACAACGTTTCAACCAATAACCCTGGCAATCGTCTCCTCACTGACCTGCTCAGGAACATGACATATTTGCACTATGGGATCATTTACCTTTTTTATTTATGCATGTTAAAGATTATGCTTTAAAAATGCAAAGGGAAAAAAAACTATATAAAGAAGCAAAAAAGTTACTCACCTTTAAAGTTTCCCTTGGTACACTGTTATTTTGTCCACCTGTAGCTGCTGATAGATACAAGAAATAAACTATTATTATCTGAAGAAGCAGTGGCGTACTAAGGGGGGGGCGGGGGGGGCGGTCCGCCCCGGGTGCCAGCCGGGTGGGGGGTGCCATGGCCAGCCCCCCGCCCCCCACATGCTGCAGCCGCCCGAGCGCTCTGTAGAGAGCCTCAGGCGGCTGCAGCTTTGCCCGGGCGGTGCTTCCATGAGGGCGGACCGCACCGCCCGGGCGCAGCCTGAGGAGAGGCTGACAGGAGGGAGCGCTCCTGTCAGCTCCCTCACTGCAGCATAGTCCGACGGGTACAGAGAGCAGCTGTCTCCTGTACCCGGCCGGACTAACAGGAAGGGAACACTGAGTGTGCACTTCCTGTTAGTCCGCCGGGTACAGGAAACAAAAGCTCCCTGTACCCGCGGACTATACAGGGCTCGGCCACGCTACAGGGAGGTAGGGGGGAGGGGGGTGAGAAAGAAGGGGTGGGTGAGAGGGAGAAATAAGGGGGGTGAGAGAGTGAGAGCAGTCATAAAGTGAGAGAGGGGTGAGAAAAGAAATAAGGGGTGAGAGAGGGTGAGAAAATAAATAAGTGGGGTGAGAGGTAAGTGAGAAAGAAAATACAAGTGGAGAAAGAGAAACAGGGGGGGTGAGAGAGGGGTGAGAAAGAAATAAGGGGGTGAGGAGAGGGGTGAGAAAAAATAAGGGAGAGAGGTGAAAATAAAATAAGTGGGGTGAGAGAGGGTGAGAAAGAAATAAGGGGTGGGAGAGAGGGTGAGAAAAAAATAAATAAGTAAAGGGGAGGAGAGGGGTGAGAAAGAAATAAGGGGGTGAGAAAGAAATATGGGGGTGAGAAAGAGAAATAAGGGGTGAGAAAGAGAAATAGGGTGAGAGAAATAAGTAAAGGGGAGAGAGAAAATAAGGGGGGTGGGTGAGAAAGAGAAAGGGGGTGAGAGAAAATAGAGGGGGGTGAGAGAAAATAGGAGGGGGGTGAGAAAGAGAAATAAGGGGGGGTGAGAAAGAAGGGGGGGTGAGAGAAAATAGGAGGGGGGGTGAGAAAGATAAATAAGGGGGGGTGAGAAAGAGAAATAAGGGGGGGTGAGAAAGAGAAAAGGGGGGTGGGTGAGAAAGAGAAATTGGGAGGAGGAGAAGGAAATTGGAGCGGGAGGAGAGATTGACATTCATCACATACACACAATGCACCCCTTGCACACAGAAAAACACACAGACACACATACACAAGCAATGCAACCGTTACACACAATGCATCCCTTACACACACAGAAACACACATTGCATTCATTACACACACTCAATGCACCCCTTACACACATTCAATGCATCCCATACATACACAGAAACACACCTTGCAGTCCTTACACATACAAACACAATTTCACACAATGCATTCCTTACACACATATCAGGACATCCCCTACACACTCCACCCCCTGTGAACAAACTCATTGGTGGAACATGAAGGTGGACCCTGGGACCCAGACCTTGATCTGTGTAAAGGACCCCAAAAAATGGAGCTGCTTCCAGTTCTCCCAGAACATTGATTTTTGTGACCACAGTTACAAACCGCCTCCAGAGAGCCTGTTCTGCACCAGACCAGTGGAGCCAGACTGCAGCTAGAGCCCATCATCATCCTCATCTGGTTGTAAGTAGGCAATCTAGTATATTATTCATGGCACTAAGCTCTATTTTACCTCACATTAAAGAAACACTATAGTCCCCAGAACCACTTCAGCTTAATATAGTGGTTCTGGTGTCTATAGCCTGTCCCTGCAGGCCTTTTAATGTAAACACGGCGGCACTGCAGCACTGGCGCTAGTTAACATGGCAAATCATATGGTTGGGGCATTGTGATGTCACATGGGGGGCGGCAAACTTTACTTTTGCCTAGGGCGGCAAAAATCCTTGTACCGGCCCTGGCTGGAGGGGGCTGTGTGAGCTGTGGCCACACAGTGTCCCATGGTGGTTAGGGTGCCGTGCGGCCAGTACAGCTCACTCAAGCAAACAGCTGATAAACTGGCCGCACGGAGGAAATGTGTATGTGTGACTGTCTGTCTGTAACTGAGTGTGTGACTGTCTGTCTGTAACTGAGTGTGTGACTGTCTGCCTGTAAATGTGTGTGTAGGGCTGCAGGGATTTTGTAGAAGGGGTGGGGGTTTTGTATTGGGACAGGAGTCTTTATAAGGGGGGATAAGCAGGGGATTTGTGGAAGGGGGTTGCGGGGTTTTGTAGATGGGGCAGTACAGGATTTGTAGAAGGGGCAGGACAGAGGTTTTGTAGGAGGGGCAGGGCAGGACAAGGGTTTTGTAGGAGGGGCTGACAACGGTTTTGCAAAGTTTACAAATTGTAAAAATAAAAGAAATAAAACCTTTAACATTTTTTACAGGTTTTTTTTTTGTTTGTTTTTTGGGGAGGGGGGTGGGGGGGGGGGTGCCAAGCACAGGATCCGCCCCGGGTGCCAAATGCTCTAGGTACGCCCCTGTGAAGAAGAGTTATCTCCTAGAGCAGTGGTTCCCAACCAAGTACCTAACAGTCCAGGATTAGGGATTTCCCAGTTGTGTTTTTGAAAGGATAAAAAAAATACAAAAGGGTAATCCCTAAATCCTGGACTGTTAGGGGGTACTTGAGCACTGGGTTGGGAACCCCTGCCCTAGAGCAATTCCATTCATCACTTACACGATATTTACCAAAGTGAGAATTGTGGGGAATTCAAAGAATATTTCATAATTAAAATCAAACTACTTTGACCTTAAAGAACCATTCTGGACACCCTAACAACTTCATTGTAATAACGAATGGTTTAATTCCAAACTCTGACAGACCGCACACGATCACTCTGCCATTCTACTTCCTATGAAGGTCCGAGCCCTTAACCAGAAAGCCTCAGATCAGGCACCACATAGCTGCTTCCCATGCACAAAATAGAAGGAAAAATATACTAGCGGTGTCATTTGACACTATCAGAATTGTTGACACCCGACGTGGTTCCTCAGCCCCACAGGTTGGACATGGAGAGGAGCTAGTTCTATGCTGATTTCCCTGTCCAGCCAGCTCCTTGTGTTTCGTCTAGAAGTTGCCGAGAATCTGGACAGTTCAGAGTGTTGCCATGGGTTACCATGGCAACACTATGATACTGTAAGTCTGGAACTACCTAGAGTGTTGTTGTAAATTTTAGATTCACTTTTAATTCCTTCTCACTTTGGTAAATAACTCTGTTAGGATTAGTGGAAAAGCTCTGTAATGTTAGAGCAGCCATACCCTGTTATCAGGTTACATATAGTCCAACTCATTATTAATGGTCTTAGTTCTGTTAAGCTCCTTGGAAGGTGCACACACAGTCTGTGGCTCAGCTCATGAGCCAAGGGATGGAGTTATGCCTCAACAAGAATATGCATATATTTTGGTTTTTAAAAGCATTTCAGGTAGAAATTCTAGCAGCCATTGTCTACCCTGCCCTAACATTTTGTGTCACTATACCCCACTCCCTGTAGCATGTAAGCTCATTGAGCAGGGCCCTCAACCCCCTTTGTTCCTGTGCGTCCATTTGTCTGGTTACAAATACGTGTCTGTTAGTCCACCCATTGTACAGCGCTATGGAACTTGTTGGCGGTTTAATAATAATAATAATAATAAAGTAACTCTTTAAGCCCAAACTTGGCAGGTAAATTGCAAAATTCAGGTAGTTTGGCCAATTTGGATGGAAAAAATGTGCCATCAAATCCAGAATTCCTCATTATCAAGCAGAAGTCTGACTAACCCAGATAAAAATGATAGGCTGGAGGCATAGGCGTGCGCACAGGGTGTGCCGGGTGTGCCTGTGCACACCCTAATCACACCTCTGTGCTGCACTGCCTTTGGGCAGACTAACATGTCGGGTCTGAGGACCCGACACAGGAGGGGGCCCGGCAGCTTGCCCACAATGCCTCCGGTTGCGAGGCCCCTCCTGTCAGTCTGCCCATACGGAGATCCAGCCTGGGAGTGAGCTGCAGACTGAAGTGTCTCACGATCTCCGACACAGGAGGGGGCCCGTCTGTGAGGCTCACCATGTGGTCTGCAGCTTACTCCCGGCAGAGCTGCAGACTGAAGAGAGAGGGCGCCCACTGGACCACCAGGGCAGGTATTTTTAAACCCCCCTCCACCCCGTGGCACTCACTGCCCCTCCACCCCGTGGCACTCACTGCCCCTCCACCCCCTGTCACTCACTGCACCTCTACCCCCTGCTACTCACTGGCCCCTCTACCCCCTGCTACTCACTGCCCCTCCACCCCTGTCACTCACTGCCTCTCTATCCCCCTGTCACTGCCCCCCTCTACCCCTAACCCCTGTCACTGCCCCTCCACTCCCCCCACCCCCGTCACTGCCCCTCTACCCCCAACCCATGTCACTACCACTCTACCCCCTAACCCCTTTCACTAACCGTCTACCCCTGCTACCCCCTGTCACTGCCCCTCCACTCCCCTACCACCTGTCGCTGCCTCTCCACCCCCCTATCCCCTGTTGCCCAATAAATAAACTCACAATCATACACACTGTACCCCTCACAATTACACACACTGTACCCCTTACAATTACACACACTGTACCCCCCACACACTGCACCCCTCACAATCATATACACTGTAACATACATACACTGTACCCCAACAATCATACACTGTACCCCTAACAATCACACACACTGCACCCTTCACAATTACACCACACTGTACCTTTCACTATTACACACGCACACTGTACCCCCCACACACTGCACCCCTAACAATAACACACACTGCACCCTTCACAATAACACACACACACACACTGTACCCCTCGCAATCACACACACTGCACCCCTTACACGCTGCACCGCTCACAATCAAACACTGCACCGCTCACAATCACACACACACTGCACCTATGTATATTTGTATTTGTGTATATATGTGTATGTATGTGTATATAAAAATACATATACACGCGGCGTGTGTGTTTGTGCTTTAGGGTGCACACCCTAATGCAACAGACTGTGCACGCCTATGGCTGGAGGCATCAGAGGCAGGTTAGTAGAGTGCTTGCAGTTTTTCTTTGCAACTCAAAAATATGGTCAAATGTGTTCACCTCTACAGATACAAGCCACTGAAGAAAATGATCTAGCAGAAGTCTCCAGTACAGAATTTGTTGTTTTCAAACCACTCAAACAGTTTAACAAAAACACAGGGACAGAACCCACAGACTTGTAGCATCATAACCACCATAAGCATTATAAACTGTAGTGGTTATTGTGCTTTAAGTGCACATTTTAGATAGATACCGACATTTGAAAAAACATTTCAGAGACACTGGCACTGGCAAGTATGCACACAGGTTTACAGAAACACACACAATGACGCACACAGATACACAAAATGACAGATACCTACAGAGATATATACAGTAACATACTGACATTTGCACAGATACACACACACTGCAATTAAGTTGTTATGGTATGAGGAGGCCATTAACTAATGGATTAACCCCATAATTTGAGACATGGTGCCCAATCGCTCTGCCCCTCTAATTTCTATTCAGACCTGAGGCTTCAATCAGGGAGCTTTGGACTGGGCGCTACTGGACCTACATAACAAAATTCGGATCCATTTCAGCCAGGCTTCACGAAACCAGGAATTGTGTACTATTGACAAGGGACACATCTAACAGCATGAAAACCTGGTCTGTGTCCAGAAAGATATGGTGAATCTAGAAATAAAGATGCCTGCACATGGAATAAATTGAAGAGCTGACAGGATGATATTTGTCAATACAAAGGCTTATTGAAGATCCCTCTAGCTACAGTAGAAAGACAGGTTGGTAATCACTGCTAGTTGGCATATCCTAGACCTAGAGGTTTATTTATTTCAAAAAATCAAATTGCATAATTCAAGGCAAAATTAGATGAAAATGTTTCTAAACCCAGCTTGGATAGTTTAGCCTATTAAAAGGGGAAAAACAAAATGTATCAAAGACAATATATTAATAATCTGCATTCTATAAAACGAACTATCAGTAAAAATTGCTGATTGCAACAAAAGTCATTTCAAACTGCCTCAGACATCAAGATTAATCTCTACGCAGCTCTGCTGGGTTTAAATAAAACAAAACTTGGCTGAAGGACTATCTCGCCCTTTGGACTATACAAAACACCAGCACTCAGGCATAAACAGCCAGGAGCTCGGCTCGCTGTGCATGACGGGAGTGTAGTCTTTCAGAGGTGATGCTCTGGGGAACACAAACTGCAAGGGGACTACATTTCCCGTGAAGCTCGGCGAAGGGAAGCTTATGGCCGCTGCCTGGGATGTGCACATTTTTCAGCTGGATACATTCGTTTGTCTACAGAGGAGGGTGAGTGACGTGTGAGGGGTCTCTGGTGCTGGGAGGCCTGGGTAGAGGTCTGGCATGCCATCCTGTGCCACGAGGCAGAGGTTCTGTAATGTGCACATGTGTGATTGGCATGTAAAATGCCAGGTGTGTTTTCCTGTGCACTTTGGTTCTCATTGTGCACTTTATTTGTAGGTTTGTTTATTATTATTATTATTACTACAGTAGTGTTGGAATAAATAGATTATATCAGTCAGGTTGTTTAATATGGTGCCACATTTAAATTTAATAATCAACATAAGCATCCTGCTAGTGCTATAGGTATTTTTTTTCCTGAGTTGTTTTTTTTGCTGTAAAGAGGACCACTCTGCTTTCCATCCATAGCAACCATAGCACATGTGCGGTGGTCACCATGCAAACAACCAAACCAGCGCAGGCTAGAGAGTATAGGAATGGAGTTGCAATTCAACACTCCATTCAGAAGCTGGCTTTGGTGTCATTGTGGAAGTTTGCCCATTTTGCTGGTGTGTCCATAAGCACGGTATATCCGTGAACAGCAGAGGAGTCCGTAGGTGGGTGTTGCAGAAGATTGCGGTGGGGCAACCGAGGTTTAGGTAAGTGGTTACAAGTTCACTTTAATAAATGCTCGTTTGAGCAGGGACTTCATCAACCTAATGTTCCTGTAGCATTTTGTAACGGTCTCATTTATTGTTGAATTTCCCCCTTTTTATAATATTGTAATAAGCTGGCACTATATAAATGCCAAAAATTATGGCAAATTGCTAACCAGCTGTTTTCTATTAGGCTATTTAAAACATAATGTGGTTAAGGGATCTGACACTACTGACAGGGGGTCCATTAATGACCTTGCAACTTTCTCATTTATCTGACTGTCTGGTCAGATGCCTGGCAACTATCGCTAGATGTTTAGTGTGTGACCAGCCGATCTGGTAATTGAACAGCTGGCTGCAAAGGTCAGTTAATGTATAACAAGATTCCTCATTAGCTGGTGCCCAGCTAGTGTAAAGGGGGCAGGAGGGTGACAGAATGCCATATCCCCACTCATTGTCTACACACTTCGTGCTGGATCCTCAATAGAGAGTCTTGCCTGGCCACACCACATTAGAGGTATTGAAATGCCAGTGTATTTGTGATTGATTGTGTATGTATACAGGGTGGCGCAAAAGTAGGTATACAGTATAGTTCATGTGCATTTTATTACATTTATATTAGTTAAACACTATTTAATCTTGTAAGAATTGTCTTCTATCAACGTTACAACATTCCTCAAACCTGTCCAGTGTACTGTGACACACAGAATGACTCAAATTCTGGTCTGCATCAATGTCTGTAAATGTTTCAGTGATGAACTCTTTTAATTTATCCATTGTCTGGGGCTTCCTCTCAAAAACCCTATTCTTTACTACACCCCCAAAAAAAGTCCATCGTTGTTAAGTCGGGTGATCGTGGTGGCCATTCAGTTGGATCGTCCGATCCAATACTGTGGGAATGTGTTGTCAAGATAGTCCCTCACTGCAAAAGCATAATGAGGTGCCCAATCTTGTTGGAAGAGCAGTTCGGTGAAGTTAGTCCTGGTTCTGAGTTTTGTCAATACCATGTCACACAACAAGTTTGGGTCATTGTTACTACAGTCTTGGACAGTACAGCTTCAATTTCAATTTCCGCATTAAGTGTTGCAAGGACATTCTCTGTATGGATTGCTGCCGAGACACACGTTTTAGTGGATGTTTTCGGACTGTTCACTAATGTCAAAGCGACTCATTTCATTTTCCTCTGTCATAGACGTCATAAAACATACAGATTTCGGTGCATTAACCACTGCACCCGTTGCTTCAAATTTATCTCAAATACGATAAATTGTCAGACATGTTAGTGGAGAAGTGTCAAATGCTTCTTGCCACGCTTTGTGCACTCGCTCTGCATTTTCAGCCTTCCAGTATTGCTTTAGAATCAAAATTCTTTGTTCTTGACTCATGTTTGCTGTTATCATTCACAATAACAGTAAAGAAAAATAATTAATCTGCTCTCCCTTATTCCTCCCAACTGCCACACTGATATTTAAGTGTGTGTGTGTACCCATATAATCTGTTGTGAGGAATTTCATTGATTCAACTGTATGTATTTTCAGGTGTGTGTGTGTGTGTGTGTGTTTTTTTAGGTCATATGTACTGCATCTGTAACAACATTTTTCTAATTTTTCCTGTAAATAAATGCAATTATTTATGTTTACCAACAGATCACTGTTTATCCTTTTGTGTTGTACAGAAGTGCATCACTATTTATACTGATATAGAAAATGAAGCCATTTCACCTTCTAAATGCACACTGCCGTAGATTAAAAAGTTTTCTAATGAAACAAGACTCCTTTCCAGCATTTTTGTCAACGTCTTGCCAAGCCCTGAGCAAGAAAAAAAAGGTGAACGGTTATGAGGACATTAACCAGGAGAAATATGCAAGTTTGGTTCAGACAGTAACAACCTCCAAATACAGACACCAGACTCCTGATAAAATATTTGAAGAAGACAGCTTCTTATACGGCAAAGTAGTGAAAACAAAGTCTTCACAGAAAACCTCTGAACCTAAAGTTCCTAAGAAACTATTTCCACTCAGTAACCCCAACAAGGTAATTTTATCGGTGGAGAAGACAGATCCTAGCATACCCCTGAAAATCAGTTTGCCATCTAGGAGCCAAATGACAAATGGTAATGTGCCTAGTGTCACTCGAATTCTTCAGCAGACCATGCCGATGGAGCAGGCGTTTTACCTGGAGAGGTGGAAGCAAAGAATGATCATGGAATTGGGAGAAGAAGGCTTCATTGAATATACTGCAGGTTAATAAAAATCTTTTATGGCCACCTTTTTACTTGTTATTATAAGTAAACATTTTGATAAAGATACAGAGCCTCTTTATGGAATATTATGGGTAAATGCACAATATGAAGAAATTCTACACTTAGATATTGTAGAATGGAGTAGATGCTTTTAAAGAGTTACTCCAAGCACCATGACAACTGCACTGCCTGGAGTGTAAATGTGCAGCATGTCAATATGAAACATTGCACATACAGAGCTTAACCCTCTGTGAAGGTGTAACTCAACCTCCTTAATCGCCATAGGGGCATTACAAGAGTTCTGGGCTGACTAATGTCAGTACTGTGACGATTTCTATGCACAGAGTTGCTTTCATTGCCTGAGAGCCATCAGCTGACACTCTCGACTAATGAAGAGCCAATCGGATCAACATCTGCAGAAGTCAGATGCACGTGTCTGGTAGGGACCTAGGAAAGCAAACCTTAAAGGACCACTATAGTGCCAGGAAAATAAAATTTGTTTTCCTGGCACTATAGAGTCATTAGGTCCCCCCCACCCTCAGGGCCCCCTTCAGCCACTTACCTTCCTCCAGTGCCGGGCTCCCTCTGTGCTGGGAACTCTCCACCCCCTGCCGACGTCAGATCTGAATGCGCATGTGCAGCAAGAGCCGCGCGCATTCAAACCGCCCATATGAAAGCATTAATTAATGCTTTCCTATGGACGCCCAGCCACTTGACTAGAGGATGGATTAACCCTCAGTGAAACATAGCAGTTTATCTGAAACTGCTATGTTTTCAGCTGCAGGGTTAAAACTAGAGGGACCTGGCACCCAAACCACTTCATTAAGCTGAAGTGGTCTGGGTGCCTATAGTGGTCCTTTAACTGAGGAGTAAAAGTTTTAGTAATGTTGTCGGCTTATATCTCATTATTACATACATGTATACATCTCAAACTATGCCTAAGAAAGTGGTCTTATATATGTACACATAATTTTATTATGCACATCAATCAAAGCTTTTTTTTTATCCTTAATAATACCATATATAAAATGTGGCATTTTTATTTTTACATAAATATGTGCAAAGCCAAATAAAATGCAAAATCAATATATACAACAAACTCTTAACATTTGGCTTAATTACTGAGAACTTCAAATTTTTAGAGGGAAAATAGCTGACTTTGATAAAATTTCCATTTAGGTAATTATGGTCTAACATTTGAAATTCAATTTGGTGAATAACCATGTGAGAAATGTTTTGAATTTTAAGTGAATTTCAATTTTAAGGCCAACATTGAAATAATAGCTGATTGGGATATTTTTTCGATTCAAATCTTACTTGGAGTGCCTGATGATTCTAACCATAGTGAATAACTCTGACAGTGTTGTAAATAACACTCTGAAGCACTCCTGCACAAGCTATGCCCTCCTTATATGTCTTGAACTACAACTCCCATGATTCCCTAGCTATCTGTTTCATTCAAAGAATCATGGGTTTTGTAGTTCAAAACATCATAGTGGGCCACTGGTTGTGCAGGACTGCGTCTGAAGGATGGCCAGAATGTGCACCACCGCTGTGTACATCCTTATTTAATTTGCCTGCTGCTTCTCAGGGAAACTCTGACAGAGTTATTCACCAAAGTGTGATTTATTTATTTTTTAAATTATTTTTTTGGGGGGGTGTAGGGAATCAAATTGAAGATTTAAAATTTTGTCCAGAACTGAAAACAAAACAGAATTGGAGAAGTCTTCCAATTGAGCTATTTTGACCTACAATCTAATAATTACTTTGAACTCCCAGCTCTTCTCCCTTTAGTAGTGACACCTTGTCATTATTTTCTGAAAGGTATCTGAATGTACTGATGGGCAGGTTAAGCATTGAATCCACTAGAAAAACAGGAATGGCATTTACCCTATACATTGGATAGTAATCTATCTAGCACAGTAGATGGATTACATTTTGTTTCCTATCTGAAGAAGACTGTATCACATTTATTGGTGACAAAGCATCTTTTTGTGTCTTTAAGGAACACTATAGGGTCAGGAACACTAACATGTATTCCTGACTCTATAGTGCTAAACCCCCTTACCAGTTACCACCTTACATAATCAGAATTGCCGATTTTTAGCATTGGATTGGCTAAAATCGACATTGGATCGGGGCCAAATGCTGTTTTGGCCAATCAGCACCTCCTCATAGAGATGCATTGAATCAATGCATCTCTATGTGGATAATTCAGTGTCCCTGACACTGAACAGCCGAGCTGCCTACTGTGCCAGTTAGAGGTGTCCCTAGGGGCAATGTAAACACTCTGAAAAGGCAGTGTTTTCATAAAAATACCTGAAGGCAATGATTATACTCACCAGAACAACTACATTAAGCTGTAGTTGTTCTGGTGACTATAGTGTCCCTTTAACATCTAGAAACTATTGGACTGTATTGTGAAAACTCCTAATTTCAAGCCCACTAGTACATTCCACTAATTGGTGATGCAAAGTATTCACAAATTGTCCAGATAATTTTAGATCGTTCTTCTAAACTCATTCATTTGTAGGAATTAGATCAGTTTTGTTCCAGACTTCCATCAATCAATGCACAGCTAATACAATTTGTTTTAATGGTTTTTTTTGTTTGTTTTTTCCAAGCTCTCTTTTCACAGGGCAAACTTTTCCATGTAGAATTAGAAGAGCTCCTTCTGTCCCAAGAAGACTTCAGCATAAAGCAAGAAGAGCTGTCTGGATATCTAGCCAGTGTCCAGCATGTATTGGGAGACATTGTTGGTGTAAAGTCACTGGAAAGTGCTGTCTGTCACTCTGAGCTCGGCTACTTGGGCCTTGTAGACTGTGTGGCTAAATACAGGTAATTTATAGTGCTTTTCTTCTATTCTCCAGATAATTTTTAAAATTCACTATTTGTTTAAAGTGGACCCATGATCCAAAAAAATGTGAAACGTAAGTGGTTGAAAAGTATAAGCATCTAGACCCTTTATTGATATCAGCTTTAACTATCACAAGGCCTATAGTGACCTCAAAATGACCTGTAATATCTTTTACAATCGTTTTGTTATTCACCCAAATATTGTAATTTGGCTCTCTTCTGTGTTTAAGGAATAAACCCTACTGGAAAACAATTTATTTGTCTAGTCACTGTTTAGGCGACAGGCCAGTGCTGACAGTTTTATTTTATTTTTAATTTTTTTACCTTTTTCTCCTGCACAGCGCTGGTCTCCACAGTGGAACTCTGCCTCTTTGGCTGAGATCACTGAGATCGATTATGTGAGCCAATGCAATGCTTTCCCATAAGCTGTGCGGCAAAATGAGTCCATCTGATTTAAAATAGACGTCTGTGCTGCTATTTCACTAGGGGGCAGGGTAACCGTGCAAAGTAAACTTTGCTATTCCTGTATAACAGCAATGTTTTCAGTGTTTCATTTCTCATCTTCTCTGTATGCTTCCTCTGTACTCACGTGTAAAGGGCAGAGCTTAAAAACATTGACCGACAAGGAGCCAAGATGGCGGTACCCAGTTGCAAAATAAAGAGATGTGAAAACTAAATGTAGAAATCCACACCTCACAAATACATACATGGCAAATGACTGTTTTTCAGTTTTTTTCTTTTTATAACCAACGCAGTTTGCTTTTAAAAATGTTGTATTGTGTTTTCATTCTTGTGAATGAATTGGCAGGCTTGCAGATACAGTTGATCATGAGTAAAGCATCATAAGTGATATAAACCTTTTGTCTATTTTGAAATCTCAGTGGAATAAATACATGATGCAATAAGTCTCATCCCCGCAAAGGGCCAAAACTCCTTGCTTTTCCAACCTAGACCTCATGGTGGGTTCCTTTTGGGTGGTGCTGTGTGCAGATTTTTAGCAAAGTTAAAAAAAATGCTAGTGCCGAGCTATTGTGGCAAAACGGAGCTTGTTGTATAAAATAGTCCTGGAAAATAAATTTATGTATTTTGGCATAATGGCCCTTTCAGCTGTTGACTATAGTGCATTCTTGCAAACAGACAGCTTGGGCACATGCGTTTCATGTTCAAGCTGAACGTTGTCTATTCATTCTTTGCAGGGACAAGCTATGTGTGATAGATTGGAAGACATCAGAGAAACCCAAACCACAATTAAGAGACACCTTTGACAATCCACTCCAGGTTGCTGCATATATTGGTGCAATAAATCACGACAATAATTATAACTTTCAGGTAAGTGAATTAGCTCACAAAGAGAGACAGAATGTCTGCAGGCAGTGCAGAAGATGGAAGTGATAGTTTAATATAGTGATCGTAGCTCACCATTGGTGGAATAAGAGTTTAGGTGCAAAATGTTTGGTATTGTTACTTCTGGAAAATATCTCTGGTTCCATGGGTTACTAGGATCATAGTGGGAGTAAAGTCTACAAAGTGACCATGCAAACCCAGAATGAAATTATTAATGGAACATTACACTGTTTTTTTTGTTTGTTTTTTTTATTTTGTGTGTGTGTGTGTTTTTCGTAGTCCTCTCCACCCTCCAAAAAAGGGGTATATTTACTAAACAGTAAAAAAACACATTTCAGTAGCAGAACAAACGTCTAAGAGTCTAATGTCGTCTTTGTAAGCAAGTAGTGCTGCAATGGTCTGTACAAAGCTTCACATGGGAGAGTGCTGCTAAATAGTGCATATGAAGTAGCTGACATTTGGCTAGCCATCCATTTATTTTATGTGGGAGTACTTGACATATCCCATAATTCCTTCTGTTGATTAGCAGCTGTACTATCTCTTCTACATCTTTATCTTGGACCAAAGAGAGCTTGAGATTACTTTTAATACATCTCTAATGGACCTTTTAACACTTACATGCTACAGTGCTTTTTGTTTGTGATTTTTTTTTTGTCTGTTACGCATTGTTTTGCCTTTTGAAAAGAGGGTTTTTAATAAATCTACTAAACCTCGTTGTTCTTTCAGGTTGATTATGGGTTGATTGTAGTGGCGTACAAAGATGGATCCCCTGCCCATCCACACTTTATGGATCCTGATCTCTGCTTGCACTACTGGAACAAGTGGCTACTGCGTTTAGAAGAATACATAGAGAAGAAAGAGGGAAAACAATAGCAATGATATTGCTAGGTTGACAATAATTGCTTAGCCTATAGGAGTGTGAAAACAATTCATCATTCCCCACTTGCAGTCCCATTATTATGTGCTCTAATGTTTTTAGTGTCAAAACCACTTCACCTTTCTGAATTGGTAATGGTGCCTGGAGTCCATTAGTGCCATCCCATTATTCAGTATTAAACCAATTACAAACAGTTTAACAGTAAATAACTGTTTGTGGCTACTAGCACCCTGGCTGCTTGGGCCTTCCATTTTAGTCCAAGTAATAATAAGGCAACTTTGCTGGTATGACTAATAATACAGAGTCACTCCACATTGGCCCTTTTTCAATGTCACAATTATTGAAATTGGTTCAACACCGAACAGTCAAACAGAGCCAGGAGACTCCAGGCACCATAAACCCTTAAGTGATATGAAGTGGTTATGGTAGGTACCTAGAGCATGCTTTCAATGGATTATCTGTTTACAAACGAGTTATGGGCCAAAGTGAATCTCTCTATACGTAGAGCCAAAATATGAAATGTGTTGCCAATTAGATGGTAATAATGTTGAATGTTAATTGTTTTGTCAAAAAAAAGGTAGAGGGATTTCAGACATTAATTGATACAAGGGAACTTTGTTTAATTTAGTTTTACATGTGCTGTGGTTACAAATTCTAATTGTTGTAGTTATTTACAGTTGATTAATTAGTTGCAGAAAGTAATTTTAGAAATAAGTAATAGTATTTACTGTTATAATACAATTGAGTGGGGCTGGTTCCTCATGTTAGTAGGAAGAGCTATATTTATAATGAGGAGTTAAGTTGGACGTGCGCACAGTTGTTGAGAAGACCTGGGTAAAAGTAAAAATATTTGGAAGTTTCAAAATACCCTATGCCTTAATGTAATATTGCAATTATAGGTCTCTCCCCAATGCTTTCATTCTGCGGCAATAGTTATATTTTGCATTTTTATTCTTAAGGGGTAATACACACTCCTCCCACTCATAATAATATCTGCTTGATCTAATATCATGTAAATTGGACATATATTAAAGATGAAAATATAATTCAGATTTTTCTTGTAACAAGAAAGTGGCTACATGTAGTGTTGTCTGTTTTTTTTCCACTTATTACAGCTGGCCAGTGTTTTAATGAAATGAGTTTGTCATTTATAACTTTTTTTCCTTAATAGAACTAGTTAACATTTACACTTTCTAATACTACTACTGAGATTATCTTTCAGTTGAATCTAGATTAAGCTTTCAATCAGCTATAAATCAGTAGGGACTGAGACGTTTAAATTCAAGGTTGGAAGTGACCCTCCTTTTCAATTAATTATATAGAGAATCCAAATAGTTCCTGCCTTTATTGGGTTTCTATGGTGGTTTTTATTTTTTAAGCTCTGTCCAGTCAACCAATCTGCAGTTCAGAACTCATGAATAATTAACATTCACAGAACATGGAATTTTTGCATAAATTGGTGGTAGCTTGAGAACTGATGGCAGGTTTCACAGCTACTGCCCAGACAGATTCTGTACAGCAGGGCTTGACAAATCCCAGGCACCACATTGCCAAGGGAACTAGAAATTTTGTTAGCTAGGATTTGTTAACATGTTCCCCTCCCTGAGGCATCCGGAATGTAAACTGGCAGCGAGAGTGGGAGCTGAAATCTTCTTGCTCTACTTTGCACGCCATGACGTCATATGACATCACTAAATGGCATGCAATGGAGCAGAGCACGAAGATTACACAAGCCCCACTGGACCCCAAGCAAAGTATCCACTCCAGCTCTCTTAAAGGTAGGGAGACTGGGTGGACTTAATTAGAATTCCACAAAAACAACAATTGTGTCTGTCTGTGTATATTTTTATGTGACTGCCCCTTCCCCCCCCATCCCCAAACGCATGGGAAGGGTGTTTTTACTCACCTTTTTTCTCTTGCTGTACCGGTCTTGCTGTGGTTGGCCCCGCTGAGATAATTGTAGCGGACCACGGGTAACCCGACCGATTACCTCTGCCCTTCCTTCAGCTGATGAGGAGCCATTTAAAATACAAAGAGGGGGGTGGGGCCTGACAGTCAAGCTGGACAGACGTGTTTCATGAGAGCTCCTGCACAGCTGAACTAAACTTTGGCTTTTATTGCCCAAAAGCGATATATTTGCAGACCTGCATGACGGGTGGCGTTCGGCTGTACGAAAGGCAGCCACCCAGGGGAGCACTCATTAATTACTTCCCTTGCGGTTTCACACCTATGTTGCAGGTGCGAGCGTTTTGACTAATTGGTGTGAACGTTCTAATGGGGCGCTGGGGAGGTCTTTGTTCAGGAAACAATCCACTAACGCTCCCCCTGGCTGGCGCTCGGCTGTACAAATGGTGGTCACCCAGGGGAGTGCTCATTGTTTCCCTTGCGGTTTGATACTTATGTGGCGAGGTGTGAAGGTTCTAAACGAACATTCTAAGTGAGGTTATCAGGGTGGTCCCCGTTCGGGAGGTGAATTAATTCCCTTCATGGAGGCACTCCCGAACAGGGCGCGGGCACAGTACACGAAAGGATGGGGAGAATACACATTTTAAAGAAGGCAAATCACGGACAGGCAGCAGTCCCGCCACAATAATCAAGCTTGATGATCTCAGCCAATCCATTAGGAATCTACTGCGCATTCTCAAAACACTGTGCCAATCGGCATCTCCTCATAGAGATGCACTGAAGCGATGTGTGGCGAAAGTGACCTCGACACTGGTTTTTGGAGGGGCCTGTTTGCCAGCCCCTTACCCTGTGACTATGGCCCTGGGGGTTAAAGATACTGTTTCTGCCTCTTGGACTTCTTACTGGAACAGACTCGAACTTTCGAAGTGGCACTTTGGCTACTGTCAAAGCGGCGGCCATCCTTTTTGGTCGAAAGTGTTCAGCGGTGTTTTGTCGTCGAGTTCATGGAACTCAAATCTTACATGCGGCGGCACGAACACCACTGAACAGTTACCTTCCAGGGAACTTTGACTATTCGAATGGCGTTCGGTGAGTAGAAGCCCACAAACAACAGACACACATTGACTATGTTTTTTCACCATTACGTTCGGTAATTCGAAAGGTACTTTGACAGCTTGAAATAGACTGACCGCACAGCCTTATTCTCTGAAACTGTTTTGGGCATGAAACCATGCATGTGGTCGGTTAAAAAGAGACTTCCAGTAATTTCCTGAACCCCTGCTCTGATCTGGGTGATTTTGGGATATGAAGTTCACCCAGATCAGTGCTATCAGGGGATGTGACTTTACGGGGGTATGTTGTCTTTTGGGGTACTTTAATAGACTTTGAACAAATGTGATATTCTGCCTCGATAATTTTTAATGCATTATCTGCCTTAATTATCTCACAGGCAGAGGGTAGGGATTGTATGTGTTTTATGGGAGTGTCGCACAGTTAATTACTTTTTTCTTATTGATTTATTCCCTTTGTGTCCCTGTGCCCAACAACGTCCACCTGGGTGTCACCCTTGTTGGGAAACTTGTATAAAAGGCCAGTGTGCCTCCATTAAAATTGAGTTCCTGCTTACCCTCAACATAGTCTCATCTCGTGTGGGGGAAACAGCTGTATCAACTCTGGGGATTGCTATATCACTATACTCCCATGGGCTCTTTTAAGAGCTGTTCCTGCTACGCTCTCTGGAGTAGGAGAGGTTCAACCACTGGAAGCTGGATCATGGTCTTGGGTCCAGGGTGGCTGTAACGCTGGAAATGTGGATGCAGTGCTTATGGTTTCTGGTGGAGTGCTTGGAGCCCTCGGTGAGCACTAAGAGCATCGACTGATGGAGGCACCCGATCGGGCTGCCAGGCGGTCCGTCACACAATGTATCTACATAGGGAACGTTCAGCACCACTGCGGAGAATGGGGATGTTGAATATAGGTGCAGCGCTGAGATAGGAAGCACCTCTAGTGGCCATCTAGTGACTGCCAGTAGAGGTGTTACAAGGCTGCAATGTAAATACTGCCTTTTATCTACAGACACTGGAACCACTACATTTAGCTGTCCCTTTAAGAATTTTATTTCTGTTTAAAAACAAAGCTTTGTTATTTAAAAAAAAAAAAAAAAAATACTGGGTCCTAACTTTTTTAGCTGGTTGTAGATCCCAAGTGGAAGGTTTATTGCTGCAGGTGTAAGAAACTCTATGGAGTTACAGAACATCTCTTATGTAAGTGACAGTTATTGCATTGCAATTATTATTGAAGGAGCCAGATTGCTTGGCCACAGGAACCTTCCTCCGTTACTAATTGAACTAAATGTTACCATAGGCCACTATAGGAAATTAATGGAACAATTCGAATAATCAAAACAGCCAATGGTCAAAGAACAGTTAATTAGCATGAAAGATTCCTTCAACTCAAGGGATGTATTCTCCTTAAAACAGTAGCAAAAAGTGTGATTAACCCCTTAAGGACCAAACTTCTGGACTAAAAGGGAATCATGACATGTCACACATGTCATGTGTCCTTAACGGGTTAAGGATGGAGGTAATTGTACAACAGCCATATCAAACTCACAGCCCAAAACTAAAATAATATGCGGCCCATGGGCCGTGGCGAGGGAGCGCTGAGTGTAAGCTCTCTCTGCTCAGCTCCCCGTAGTGTTGCCGGGTAGCCGGAATATGACGTCGCTCCTGGCATCCCTGCAGCGCGAGAGGTAGCTGAGTAGGGAGAACTTACACTCAGCGCTTCCTCACCGCCTGTCCGCCCCCATGCCTAGCAGCCCCACTAGACCCCAGGTGTGACAGATCCATCTGTATAGACTGATATTGCAACCCAATTTGGGGTCATTAACACAATTAAAGTCACCAGCAATAATCAAGGAGCCCTTGGAGATCTTATCCACTTTAACCATAATTAAAGAGAGTTTGGCCATAGGGTCGACATTGGGGAGATATACATTGACCAAAGTATAGATCTTATCATTGATGTTACAGACCAGAATAATAAACCTGGCATCAGGATCTATTTCAAAATGTATAACATCCATTTTAAGGTATTTATTAAATACTAATGCGACCCCTCTTTTTTTTTTTCTACTAAGGAGGCATGGATAATTATTGGATAGTTGTCTCCACCCCATCTTTGTCTAGAGTCTTTAAGCCAATGGGTTTCCTGTAAGAAAGCAACTTGGATGTTGTGTTCCACCAGAGAATTGTACAAGCGATTTCTTTTCTTATTAGTATTGAGCCCCTGAGTATTTATAGATAATATCTTCAACATGGAAAAGCATGAATAATATCAAATAGAAAGCTCCTGCTCAAAGTAAGAAACAACACATAAAAAAAGAAAACAAATTAACATGAAAACGCTTTGATAAAGGAATGTATAGCAGTCCATCATCAAGGCAAAACACACATAAAACTAATGAATCCAGTAATGCCCGTACGGGCACAATGAAAATAATGTAGTATTACTACACCAGAGGGGAGACTCTGTATCGTGACAGCGGAGCCTACATTCGGAACAATCTCCCGTTAATATATACCTTAATTATCTAAATGGGAAATAAATCCATAAACGAATCACAGATGGTCAAGTGATTCTAAATCCAGACCAAATAGTCTTCATGGACTAAAAAATTTCCAAACATTCCTTAATAGGACAAAAGTTACATAAGAATACCTGATAGCACAAATGGCCGCTGAATCTAAGGGAAAAAAAAATAAATAAAAGAAAATTATATAATATGTACTATAATACTGTGACATTTTCCTTTGTTACAGTTATTTTACCCATTATTGTCATACTTCTATTACTATAACCGTGCCTTATTCACATTACAGCTGTTCAACCAAAACTTGTAAAACATGTCTTAAAAAAAATAATCTGTGTGACCCATCAGTAACTTCACTAGTATTGAAATGTGGTAAATTTTCCTTATAGTGCAATCTCCATAATTTCTAATTATCTATGTCGTTGTGCCCTATCAAACACTCAAAAATTAGTTACTTCATTGTTTTACATGTCCCTGTAATACACCAAATTTTATAGATAATTGCCTCAACATAATTTATCTTATTAGTGTATCTTAAACATCATCTCAAATAAAAACTAGTGATCATCTCTTATAAAACAATAAAATTAAACATATATAGAAAGTAAATCTAGATCTTCCGACATATATCACATCAATTACTTCGCTATTAAGCAAATGTAGGAATTTTTCCTTATAGTGCATTCTCTAATCGTTCTAGTGAACTTAAACTTAACGTTGTGCACTATGTATTATGATTTGTTTGGCTTTTCCCTACAATACATCAAAAAATTATATAATATTAATTCAGCATAATTTGCTAAATTAATGAAAACATTTTTTTTATATATATATATATATATATATATATATAAAATCAATTTAAATATCTACACCAAAAATATGTTTCTTTTCAGCCATTCCGTTAATTTCACATTTGAATCAAACATTTATCTTTTGCCCTCATGTGTCAAGCTTAATTTAGAAGGAAAAAGCCACCTATATCTTATATTTTGAGTTTGTAAAATTTGGGTGGCGGAGCTAAACTTTTTATGTTGAGATCTGGTTTCAAATGATAAGTCCTGGAACACCTTGACATTCTGGAAAGGGCCCGAAGACACCGGATTTAATCTGGCAGCTTTTAAAATCGATTCCTTGAAATCAAATGCAAAAAAACAAACCATAATATCTCGAGGTAAATCATTCTGAAGTGATTTCGGTTTGAATAGTCTATGACACCTTTCAATTAGTTGTTCTGAAGGATTATATGTAATCCCCAAGGCGGATATATATTCTATCACAATTTGTTTGACATTGTCCTGAGTTCCCTTCTCCGGCAGATTTCTAAAACGTAGATTTTTCCGCCTCGGTCGATCTTCCAAATCATTCACTTTAAATTCGAGGTCCAAGATTTTTCGGAGTGCCGACTGGTAATCATCGCTCAGGTGATTTACTTGGAGGTCCATATCTTTTAGTTTAACCTCAAAACCATCCAATTTTGCTGCCAAGATATTTATTTCCTTTTTTAAATCTGATTTTATTTCTGTAGCCATTACAGCCAGTTCAGATTTTATCTTTTCTAAATTGGCCTTTAGACTAGTATGTAACAGAGAAACAGTAATCAATTCCTTGTCAGGATTTTTTTATACCTTCTGACTCCGTACTCTCTGAACTGAGATCCATATCAGTCATCCTATGCTTTAGAGTCTTGTGCTGCTGAGGAGAAAAATATGTAGTTAAAGACTTATCCTGTGTCTTATCTTGTGCTTTTTCTTGTAAGGAGTCTTTTTTATCTTTCCTCGTAGAGGATTTTGTTTCATATGACTTTCATGGCCATAGTTATCAAGCCCAAATGGTTAAATGACTTTAAAATGCATTCAGTGACCTCAAAACGGCTAGCAAGTGTATATAGGTTAACAATTACAAAGAGAAAGCCAGAAACAAGGCACACTCAAATAATTAAATAGTAAGGCTATAATAGCCTGGGCCGATATATAATATATATAAATTATCTGTCCACAGCTATCTTCAGCCCAGTTCCTCAACAGCAACAGTGGTGGCCAAAAACCGTCATGGTGGACACATTGACCCAACTAGCTGTAACTGCAGCAGCACGAGAGGCTGACCGGACCGGACCAGAGCCGGCAGCAAGACACTCGCAGTACACAGCAAAGTAAGGCAATCACTTTTCGATGCGGGGTTCCGGCACACCACGAACGGGTCCTTCCTGGCAAAGCGAGGTCTGCTAGTGGGAAAAAGCCCGCAAAGACTTTGTTCACACTAGATCTTGGCGGGTCCCCCTCCTCTTCTGTCATCACAGCGCGCGAGCATAAGCGTCAGCACGTGCACACGTCATAAAGCTCCTCTAATCATTCCAGGACTTGTAGATTATTTAAAGAAATAATCCATGCACAATAAACACTACTGCTCTGTGTAGTGGTTATGGTGCCAGGAGGGCCGGGCCCCCCTCCCAAAGTAAGTAGTCAAACCGTTTAAGAACAGTTTGACAACTTACCTGGGGTCTGCTGGGATATGGGGCAGTAGTAGGGTATAGGAGCAGTGGTACAATGTGTGAGGGGTGCAGTGTGTGTGAAAGGTTCAGTGTGTGTGAGGGGGTGTAGTGTGTGAATGTGTAGGGTGTGTGGGGCAATGTGTGTATGAGGGGGCTGGGTATGTGTGTGGCAATGTTAGTATGGGGGGCTGTGTATGGGGGTATGTGTGAGGCAATGTGTAAATGTGTATGGTGTGTGTGTGTGTGGGGGGGGCAGTGTGTTTATGGGGCTAGAGTTCACTCTCACCACTGCGACCACCAGGAATCCCTGGTGGTCACAGTGTTGAGAATGAACTCTAGCCCATATCTCCAGGGCTAGAGTTGACTCTCGCAAGAACCGTAACGTTGCTGTGGTAACCGCGACAACGCTCTGTGCTCGCGCAAGAAGGACCCAGAGGAGCTGCAGGCTGAGCTCCCTGGTCCTCTCTTTCTCCCTCCCCTGCCGGCTGCCCGCACGGTGCCTGCAGACAAAGGAGAAGGGCAATTGGCCCGTTGCCCCCCTGGATCCACCAGTGATATATACAGCCCTTCTGTGTGCCTTTTTGTCTCCCCCCAGTCCCTCTGTATGTTTCTTTCTCCCCCTCACTGCTCCTGTGTCCATGTCTCCCCTCTCCTTCCCAGTCTCTCTTACCCCTCTGCCTCTTTCTCCCCCTCCCCTTGTGTGTCTCTCTCCTTTCTCTATCTTCCACTGTTTCTTTCCCCCTCCTCCCCCCATCTCTCTATTCCCCCTTCTCCCCCCATCTCTCTATTCCCCTTCTTCTCCCCATCTCTCTATTCCCCTCCCTTCTCCCCATCTCTCCTATTCCCCCCTCCTTCTCCTTTCTCATTCTCCCCCCTCTGTCTCTTTCTCCCTCCTCCCGTCTCTCTCTATTCTCCCACTGTCTCTTTCTTCCCTCTTCCCCCTCTCTGTTTTATTTTTCCTCCTCCCATTTACCGACAGAAGTCAGAGGGGGCCGGCCACGTTCCACGCTGGAGCCGCCGAGCCGGATGGCAGCCTCTTCGGTCCGGCGGCACTCCTGTCCTGTCACTAATGCTGAGGACAGAAGGAGGGAGGAGCATGTCTCTCTCACATGGTCCTTTGCGGTTCCCACATCCTGTGCTGGGAATTGTGGGAACCGCAAAGGAGCATGAGAGAGAGACATGCTCCTCCCTCCTTCAGTCCTCAGCGCAAGTGACAGGAAAGGAGTGCCGCCGGACCGGCGAGGCGGCCACCCGGCCCAGCAGCTCCAGCGTGGAACGCGGCCGGCCCCCTCAGAGTGTGCCACCGGACCGCCCACCCGGTGGAACCTATTTGCTTAGTCCCGGTGGGCCGGGCCCGCGGATCATGTCCAAAGTGCCCGACCGGTCAGTCCGCCTCTGCTGAAATGTTATAAAGTGATTTTCTGGGCCAATGTCACATTTGAGAGTATAGCAGCCTGGGTGGTAACTTTTTCACCATTATAGCATACCATTTTCAAAAGGGTATTCCAAATAGCATATTTTGAGATTTTGGTCTAGCAACTTTATCAAATGTGTGTGTGTGTGTTTTTTCACCCAAATTAATTCAGTTTTCACAGGAAATGCCATAATCCCGATATATGAGAGTGCATTAAAATCTTGGCAATTTTTATTTCACATTGCCTCACAGATAACAGTACTCCCAAGTACATTTTGTTGGTAAAGGGTCAAATATATTAGATGCCCTTTTCAGCTTGTAAATTTGACAGTGACTTTCTGGGCCTGTCTCACCTTTGAGACAATATGGCACCCTAACAAAGAAAATTGTCCACATGATGGCATACAATTTTAAAACATTCTAAGTGTAGTATTTTGAGTTGTTTGATGTAGCCACTTCGTAATGACTGGGCTTAAAGGACCACTATAGGCACCCAGACCACTTCAGCTTAATGAAGTGGTCTGGCTGCCTGGTCCATCTAGGGTTAACCCTGCCTGCTAAAAACATACCAGTTTCAGAGAAACTGCTATGTTTACATAGGAGTTAATCCAGCCTCTAGTGGCTGTCTCATTGACCGCTGCCAGAGGCGCTTCTGTGCTTCTCACAGTGAGAAGACGCCAGCGTCCATAGGAAAGCATTGAGAATGCTTTCCTATGGACTGACTGAATGCGTGTGCGGCTCTTGCTGCGCATTCAGCCAAAGAGGGAGGAGAGTCCCCAGCGCTGGAGAAAGGTAAGAATTTAACCCCTTCCTCCAACTTCAGCCCGGCGGGAGGGGGGGGTCATGAGGGTGGGGGCACCCTCAGGGCACTATAGTGCCAGGAAAACGAGTTTGTTTTCCTGGCACTATAGTGGTCCTTTAACATAAAAAGAGACAGGCTAAGAATCCAGAAATCAAAGTTGTCAGTATAACAAGTCAATAAGTTGGTACAGGTAGCTAACAAAGTGTAATCTGGACAAGCCATAATCATCAAATAAACTGGCAGAGTCCAATACAGAGTGATCCAGTAGTTCAGCTCTGTATGGTAGACTCTGAAACAGTCTGTTATGCAGAGGGCAGTTAGAGATGTGCTGGAAGGCTAGTAATTGCTTGAGTACTTTCGGACTCCTTTCTTACAGCAAACAACACTTTCTCTTGGGTAATTGTTTTACAGGGTGGGGGATTCGGAAAAGAAAGTATTTGCCCCTAGTCTTTGGACATCTTCTGATGCCAGAGGAGGGAGTTTGAGGACAAAGATTTAGGAACTGAGTAAATAAAATCGAAAAAAAGTTTCAACATAAAATCAAGGTAATCTCTCAAATAAAGGAAATTAAAAATGGTCAAGCCACCTATTTCTCATTGTCTCTTGTTAACGTCACAGGTTGAGAAACTGAAAGAGAACCCTCCAGTTTGAAACATGTCAAACATTATACCAGTTGTCCCCGGGTTGATCTGTTTGATAGCTTGGTGCTACTTCTAAGTGCTGTTTCTAAGTGTGTAGTTGGAGATATTCTGGAGAGTTTTACAGAAGCTTCAACTGTCTAAGAGTTGTGCTAAGAGCTTTCTTTTCTACTGTTACAGGTAAGATTCATCTGTAGGAAAAGGTTACTGATTGCACAAGGTTTGAATTCCTGTTGGTAATTATAAGGCATTTGATTTGATTAAGCTAGTTACTTGCTATTGATTGCTGGTTAATTAGCTATTGTTTGCAAATAAGCAGAGGCCTACCCAGGTGTTAAACATTCCTAGTGGGTGGTGATTTTAGGAGTGATATAAGGCTTCTTGTCATTAGCTTCGCTAATATAGCTTGGTGCTACTTCTAAGTGCTGTTTCTAAGTGTGTAGTTGGAGATATTCTGGAGAGTGCCGTTTCTAAATGTGTAGTTGGAGATATTCTGGAGAGTGCCGTTTCTAAGTGTGTAGTTGGAGATATTCTGGAGAGTGCCGTTTCTAAGTGTGTAGTTGGAGATATTCTGGAGAGTGCCGTTTCTAAGTGTGTAGTTGGAGATATTCTGGAGATAACCTGGAGGTAATCTGAGGTATTCAGGAGGAAAAATACAAAGTTAAGATTTGTTTGATTTAAATTATTCTCCTCATTGGAATGGCAGACTTAGTTCAGTATAACAATTGCTATGCATTTGTTTCACGTTCCACTTTTTGGAGGTTTGGTTGTTGTCTAATCTGTAGACAGTTCTCTATCTTGCGGCAGGAGATTGTATTTTTGAAGTCTGAGATTTGTAAATTATCTGGTGAACAAACTCAGACTGGAACTGCTGCAAAGCCACTGCCGCAGAGACATACTAGGAAAGGCAGATGGATTACTGTAGGATCTGGTAGACTTAGAGTTGTGGATAAAAGGCATTTTGCACAGTCTGTTGCTCTTCATAATTCATTTTCTGCACTTTCAGAGTGTAATGGTGTTGTGGAGAGAGGCACTGAGGCTAGTGGTGTTGTGGAGAGAGGCACTAAGACTAGTGGTGTTGTGGAGAGAGGCACTGAGGCTAGTGGTGTTGTGTGGAGAGAGGCACTGAGGCTAGTGGTGTTGTGGAGAGAGGCACTGGTGTTGTGGAGAGAGGCACTGAGGCTAGTGGTGTTGTGGTGAGAGGCACTGAGGCTAGTGGTGTTGTGGAGAGAGGCACTGAGGCTAGTGGTGTTAAGGGAGACTGGCTAAGAGGACTATGATGAGGCCTACGAAGTTGTGCTGTTGTTGGGGGATTCCATTATAAGAGGTGTGGAGATGGACAATGGTGGTCTTGTGAGGTGTCTTCCCTGAGCTACTGCTCACAGAGACAGGATACGTATCTGTAATATTGTTAAGCAAGCAAAGCAGGAAGGGGAATTGGATGTACTTGTCCATCTAGGGACAAATGACTTGGCTTGAAATGAGGTTTCAGAGGTTAAGAAAGTTTTTAGTGTTTTTGCCAATGATATACGGCAGGTTGCTTCCACACTGTCATTCTCTGAAGTTCTGCCTGTGCATAACACTCAGAACGAAAGGCGGATGCGTATTAGGGATTTTAACTTGTGGCTTGGTGAATGGTGTCGGGAGCAAGGATTTGGCTTCATTTCTCATGGTAGCTCTGTTTGGAATGGAGATAAGCTGTACAAAAAAGATGGTTTGCATCTTTCTCAAAAGGGAACAAATGTTCTCAGTGAGCAGTTCAGAGGTTTTGCTAGGATGTATTTAAACGAGGAGGGGGCAAAAGGGTGATAAAACATCAATCTAATTGTCCCCTAAAACAAGCGTATTGTAAAGGTACCAGAAGTAAAGTGTGTGTTAAAGGATTGATTGGCACCCAGACCACTTCAGCTAATGAAGTGGTCTGGGTGCCAGGTCCTTCTAGGGTTAACCCATTTTTTTATAAACATAGCAGTTTCAGAGAAACTGCTATGTTTATCAATGGGTTAAGCCTTCCCCCTAATCCTCTAGTGGCTGTCTCATTGACAGCCACTAGAGGCGCTTGCGTGCTCCTCACTGTGATTTTCACAGTGAGAGCACGCGAGCGTCCATAGGAAAGCATTGTAAATGCTTTCGCGATGGTTGAATGCGCCGCCAAGAAGCCTTTTGCGTCGCTGCACGATTCAGCCCAAGGAGGAGTGATCTGAGTGAGCAGTAGAGGCATTCCCCGCCCCAGCTGGAAAAAAAGCTGCAGTTTTAAACCCTTCCAGAACTGGCGGGAGGGGGTCCCTGAGGGTGGGGGCACCCTCAGGGCACTATAGTGCCAAGAAAACGAGTATGTTTTCCTGGCACTATAGTGGTCCTTTAAGAAATGATAAGCTTAGAGTCATGTCTACAAATGCTCGCAGTTTAGGGAATAAGATCCATGAACTTGTGGCAATAATGGCAACTGATAATGTAGATTTAGTTGCTGGTACTGAGACATGATACAATGAGAAAAATGACTGGGACATAGCAATACCAGGGTACTCTTTATATAGGAAAGATAGGGAAGGCAAGAAAGGGGGAGGGGTGGCCTTTTATGTGAAGGATAGCATAGAATCTAGCCTAATAAAAGTTAGTGAGGCAAACATAGAGTCCGTTTGGGCTACGTTAGAATTTGGTAATCACACAGTAACTCGTGTAGGTGTGATTTATAGGCCCCCAGGACAAATTGAAGAGTTAGATAATCTACTAGTTGAGGAAATAGCTAAAATGACAATGAAGGGGGAAGTTATCATCATGGACAACTTTAATCTTCCTGATGTAAATTGGAAAACAAAATTAGCTACTTGTGCCAGGAGCACACATATTCTAAACTCCCTACTGGGATTGTCTCTAAAACAAGTTGTTGAGGAGCCAACTCGTAAAGAGGCCATACTAGATTTAGAGTTAACAAATGGAGATTTGGTATCAGATGTTACTGTAGGTGAAAGTTTAGGATCCAGTGATCATCAGTCAGTGTGGTTTAATATAACAGTGACTGAGTCACACCACACAAAAACAAAAGTTTTAGACTTTAGAAAAACAGACTTTTCTAAAATTAGAATATGGGTAGAGGAGTCATTATCAGACTGGAGCAATTTAAATGGAGTCCAAGAAAAATGGGATTATTTAAAAGTTGCACTATTGAAGGCAACAGAAAATTGCATTAGGCTTGTCAGTAAAAGCAAAAAATTCAAGAAACCACTGTGGTACTCCGCAGATGTGGCCAAAATAGTTAAAAACAAAAAGTTAGCATTTAGGAATTATAAAAAAACCAGAGTGAGGAAGACAAAATGATCTATAAGATTAGGCAGAAAGAGGATAAACAAGTTATAAGAGCTTCCAAATCACACACAGAAGAGAAAATAGCACAGTCAGTAAAAAGGGGGATAAAACATTTTTTAGATACATAAATGAGAAAAGAAAAGTAAAACAAGGATTAGTTAGATTAAAAACAAAAGAAGGAAGGTATGTAGAAGAGGATAAAGGTCAGGCTGACTGCCTCAATGAATATTTTTGTTCTGTATTTACAGAAGAAAATGAAGGAAAGGGACCTCAGTTGAGAAAAAGGATAAATGAGTCATTTATTACACGTGAGTTTACAGAGGAAGAGGTTCTATTTCAACTGTCAAAAGTAAAGACAAATAAGTCAATGGGACCTGATGGAATACACCCAAAGCTATTAAAAGAGCTTAGTGGTGTACTAGCAAAACCATTAACAGATTTATTTAACCAATCATTGTTAACAGGAGTAGTCCCAGAAGATTGGAAGTTAGCGAATGTTGTGCCCATTTACAAGAAAGGTAATAGGGAGGAGTCGGGCAACTAAAGGCCAGTAAGCCTTACTTCAGTAGTGGGGAAAGTGATGGAAACCATGTTAAAGGATATGATTGATGAACATCTAAAAACACGTGGATTTCAAGATCAGAGACAACATGGGTTTACTTCAGGGAGATCATGCCAAACTAATCTTATTGATTTTTTTGATTGGGTAACTAAAATTATAGATCAGGGTGGTGCAGTAGACATTGCTTACCTAGATTTCAGTAAGGCTTTTGACACTGTTGCACATAGAAGGCTTATCAATAAACTGCAATCTTTAAGTTTGGATTCCAATATTGTTGAATGGGTAAGGCAGTGGCTGAGTGACAGGCAACAGAGGGTTGTAGTTAATGGAATATATTCGAAGCTTGGACTTGTCACCAGTGGGGTACCTCAGGGATCTGTACTTGGACCCATTCTCTTTAATATTTTTATTAGTGATATTGCAGAAGGTCTTGATGGTAAGGTATGTCTTTTTGCTGATGATACAAAGATATGTAACAGGGTTGATGTTCCAGGAGGGATAAGCCAAATGGCAAATGATTTAGATAAACTAGAAAAATGGTCAGAATTGTAGCAGCTGACATTTAATGTGGATAAGTGCAAGATAATGCATCTTGGACGTAAAAACCCAAGGGCAGAGTACAGAATATTTGATAGAGTTCTAACCTCAACATATGAGGAAAGGGATTTAGGGGTGATTATTTATGATGACTTAAAGGTAGGCAGACAATGTAATTAGCATTAGAGCAGCAGGAAATGCTAGCAGAAAGCTTGGTTGTATAGGGAGAGGTATTAGCAGTAGAAAGAGGGAAGTGCTCATGCCATTGTACAGAACACTGGTGAGACCTCACTTGGAGTATAGTACACAGTACTGGAGACCGTATCTTCAGAAGGATATTGATACCTTAGAGAGGGTTCAGAGAAGGGCTACTAAACTGGTTCATGGATTGCGGGATAAAACTTACCAGGAAAGGTTAAAGGATCTTAACATGTATAGCTTGGAGGAAAGACGAGACAGGGGGGATATGATAGAAACATTTAAATACATAAAGGGAATCAACACAGTAAAGGAGGAGACTATATTTAAAAGAAGAAAAACTACCACAACAAGAGGACATAGTCTTAAATTAGAGGGACAAAGGTTTAAAAATAATATCAGGAAGTATTACTTTACTGAGAGGGTAGTGGATGCATGGAATAGCCTTCCAGCTGAAGTGGTAGAGGTTAACACAGTAAAGGAGTTTAAGCATGCGTGGGATAGGCATAAGGCTATCCTAACTATAAGATAAGACTAGGGACTAATGAAAGTATTTAGAAAATTGGGCAGACTAGATGGGCCGAATGGTTCTTATCTGCCGTCACATTCTATGTTTCCGGTCATAACTATTCTCATAAAATCGCTGCATTGGAAGTTTTACAAACATTTGACTTCTTACCTGAGGTCTGCTGGAGTGCTGCTCCCTGCCTTCACTACTAGAAAGCTGGGCTGTGCGTGGCTTAGCTCATTGGCTGTCATTGATCAGCTAATAATCCCAGTCAATTAACTAACCCTGCACTACAGGGCTTAGCTCAGCCGAGCAGAAGGAAGCTACTAGGCATGAAATGTATTAAATTTGGAAAATATTTTCGTAAAATTAATAATTCTGAAAAAAATTGTAATATAGTCATAGTGGAACATGATGTGTCTTATACATTGCTTCTTCAAAATTACCTATATGCCCAGAAAATAATCTAATCTAAACCTGTGCCAGACCAATCAGAATGTAGCATTAGAGAAGACATAAAAATCATCATAAATTGAACGGACCGCATTATACTGAGAAAGGACTTCAAAAATGTAAACATTTCTTTATTAAAAAGGCACCAGCACCCATTCTATGTATATATCTATATATAAAAATTAAAAATTGTCTGTTACAAATAAGTACTTAATACCACAGTAAATAATTTTTCTTTACAATAATTGTTAAAAGGCACTTATATATTCTCTCTAAATCCAATATATAATATTTCATACTATGTACATTTTCTAAGTTCAATTCTTAGAAACATCCATCCTCTCTCATCATACATAAAATCAGAGTATTCTCAAAATCAAAAATCTGTCTTTTGGCAAAATCAGTAATAGAGTACAGCACAAACATCTTCCTACATTAAAATTCTTCTAATCAGAGAACAATAGTCAAATAGAAAAAACCTTAAAAAGGTAAGGGGGTGTTTATGTCCAGCAGAGGCAAGTAGAAACAAAAGTACCTCTAGTACAACTGGATAATCAGCATAGCTAATTTCCCCCCAAAAAATCTCCTGCATAAGGAATTGTGGCAAAGTTTAAATTTGCATCAGATGCCAAGCTGTGCCAGATCTGACTTTCAACTGAATAAAAGTGAACAATAAAAATAAATAGACATAAGTAATAACAACTAACTTTAACTTTGCTATTATCATGGCTTAAAATTTCAAGTCCTACACCAAAAGCCAAACTTTAAAAGTTAATTATCACTGCAAGCCTGGATGGTCCATATCACACTCACTAGAGGTGAATTTGTACTCACCAGGGATATATTTTAATTTACCAATGGCTAGTGGAAATTTTGAGTCTTGTTATTAGAATGTGCCTCTTTAAAACAATTATAAAATACGCAACAATGTTCATTTTCCATGTAAACACTTGTACAAAACGTCCAACGAGTGGTTACTCCATATCCTCATCATCTTCATCATCATCATCATCATCATCTTCTTCATTGGGACTTCCCTGCAAAGTAGACGTGATTTTGTTTTGTAAAATTGCTGCCATTTTTTTGGTGGTTTTGTTAAGGAATCCACTTTTTGGGTGGCTTTCAAAAACGTGCAGGTATAAATCCTCCTGGGAGGGCCCAGTGTAGCCACAATCTTCACAGACAAAGAGCTTGTCCCTTCTCTGTTTATAGGCGTAGCCTTGCTGCACCCCATGAATTTTCTTTAGATGTGATTCCAAAGAGCAGCGTTGAGTAAACGCCTTGTTACAAATTTCACATTTATATGGACGAATACCTGTAAAATAAAATAAATAGAGTAAAATTCAAACTGTTATGTGCGGTTTAATATTTTAAAGAATTTCGATTTTTTGTTTTATTAACATAACCTGGTTTTCCAGAAGCTTATAATACGATCACACATGGATGTGGGTATGGAATACCCTTACAACTATTGTACTACAATCTGCGGCTGCACAGGACCTTCTCAAACTTTCATTTGACTTCAACTTACTGAATCTCAAACCAGATAGAGATAGATATTAGATATAATTCTTTATATATTAACTTGTTTTGTTTTTTTTGCCATATCGCAATACAAGATAGGAATATGGTTTACTATTCCTCTTAAAAGCTACTATTAATCACTAGGTCACCTTTAGATGATACACCAAACGTGCTCTAGCCAACATGAAATGGATGTGTTTCTAGGTTTTTATTTTGGGGGTTTTATGTCCCGGTATCCATAGTTTTGCTTTTATTTTGTGCTACTATTTTGTTAAACTGCTTTTGTCATTTTGAAACTCAAGTTTTTCTGGATTTCCTTCCAGCCTGGAGTCCCCCCTCCCCCCCCCCTTTTTGGAGACTATATATTAGTATTGCTTTTCATTAGATCCTTTATCACCATAGTATCATTATATACACTGTGATGGAAAGATTAAATTATACTTCAATTGATAGAACTTCCACAAGACCTTCTTTGTAAATTTACAAAATTGGATGATGGGATGGCTTAAAAAAATAAATAAATGTTCCAAAAAAAAACAAAAAACAAAACCAAAACAAGGCTTGGGCATCCTGTTTGCTTTATTACCCAAAGTGACCAATTGGATCTGTCAATGCCAGTGGTTTAAGGTGTTGCAGATTTCTAAGAGAACATCACTGTCATTTACTAAACTACAAATTTTTGCTAATTAAATCCAAATGTCAAAAAACGGAAGTTGTGAATTTTTCTGGATCAGCTATATTTTTCCAGTTTTGATTTAGTTTGTGAATATTCAGAGTTGGTGAATAACTCTCCAGCATGTGTTTAAATTGGATCAGTCATCCTGAGATAGAGATAAATATATATGAGGAGGCAAACAAACAATGTAACAAATCACTCTGCCAAACTTTAGTAGGAAGAGACTATTGCAAATTAAATAAAATAAAAAAAATAAAAGGGTGACAGCAGGAAGAAAGATTTCATAAACGAACTGAAAGCTGGGAAATCGGATACAAAATAGCAGACATGCATATGCTTATTGAACCTGCAGAGGGCACCAAAGTAACAGCTATTCTGTGTTGGTAGCTCACCTGTGTGAGTCCTTACGTGTCTCTTCAAATCGAAAGTGTCATTGAATCCTTTGCCACAGAAGGTACACAGGTGCCTCTTCACTTGGTTATGACATTTAAGGTGGCGATTAAGCATGCGTTGTAAGCGGAAGCCTTTGCCACAGATTTCACAGCTGTAAATCTCTTCACTGTTCCAGGTTCCAGTGGTGACCTAAGGGAGTGCCATGAAAAGAACAATTTAAAGTCAAGACAAATACAACGCATTTCAAACATTAAGGTTTCATTACGCCAGGAATTTTCTTTTACGTGAATTTAATTTGTTTGCTGTCAATCACCCACTCTACAGTGCTGAAAAATGTGTTGGTACTTTAGTATAATAATTCATAGTTTTCAAACATATCGTTTATAAAAATAAGAAATAAAATATTTTTAAAAATTGCAATTGAAAAACCAAAGCAAAAAACCTTTCCTATGGGAGGTGGGACCAGCTGTGGACCGAACAGCGGTCTATGATTAGTCACTAGTTCCAATAAACTTGGATCAATTTTAAAACTACTAGATAAAGGCAGCGTTTACAATGAAAATCTTGCAGGGACATGCTATAGACACCAGAACCACTATATTAAGCTGCACTGGTTCTGGTGACTATATTGTTCCTTTAATACCATGGTTATTAAAACTGGAGAATGTTGACCAATAATTTCATCATCATTATCAATTTATTTCTAACGGCATATAATAAAAGCAGTTCTCATAACAGTTTAAGTAGATCTGTAAAATGATCATTCTAAATATGCAAACCTCATGTGGTTGCACATTTTAAAAGATTATAACAAGCAAATTCTTTATGCGTTTTAAAAAAATATCATGATTTAAAATCAAGTCTTTTTGACCAATGATTTAAATAAAATCCACCTGTTTTACACAGTGAGAAACAAGTTCAAAAAGTAGCTTGATAATCACCGGGATAAAGTCCTTAGCCTCCTGTATCACAAGATCTAATTGTCACTGAACATCATAAGACATCCTGGAGCACATAGCCCAAAAGACATTTTCCACTTTCTTTTTTTCTCAAAGACAGTAATGGTGTCCATAAAGGATGGTACTCTCTACAGTCTATGACTTTGTCCACTAAGTAAATGAAACTAATCAGACAAAGATGGGGACTTGTTTCACGGTTTGTTGTCCGCCCAAATAATGGAGTTTTTCTACACCTGCTAGCCTGGAAATCCTTGCCTTGCTCTTAGCGAGTTCCCCAACTGGACTCTTACTTTCTTTCACATATACCACTACACACAGCTCAAGACTTCTATGACAGCATTCCAAGAATGACTGTAGATGTGCTAAAGGCAAGGAGACAAAATGTGTCCCTATTCCTTATTAAGACTATGTTATTAATATACTGTTAGCAATTGGGGCAGAAAAATGACAATGACAAGTAGTCTCCCTTTTCTAAAAAGAACTTACAGATGCCCAAACCATACAGCCGTTTACCAAGAGGGCACAGCTGTTTCCATGTACTATATCTACAGGCTGGGAACATGCAGGACTCAACAATAACAGGGGAGATCCACCTACGCTGCCATCATTCAGGATGGGAACTCTACATACAGCTCAAGAAGGAAGGTCAACAAACTGCTCTGATTATTGCAATCATTATTGGCCGTGTTAGAATGGAGTGTACGGTTCTGGAGTGGAACTCTATATTGTGCCTAATCCCTGGTTTAACACATTACAAACCTTGTAAAATATCAGACATGTGGCCAGAGATGTTATTTTTTTGACAACTACATTACTTAATTCTTCTGGATGTGGTTAACATATGATCTTCCTAAAACACATAAACTGTGCCATTGTCACAATCTGGTCCCTAATGAACTTACACAAAGTGTAACGTACTATTCTTTACCATAAGCAGTTCTGCTGTCGTGTTATATGACTAGAGCAGAGTCTGATTAAAATATGCTAAAGTTTCGGAGCCGGTGCCGTAGGAAATTACCTTGTGCATTGGACCAATATTTAGAGGATAGAGCCCTCAGCACACGACTATCTTCTAAATAGAGCTTGGCCTGAGTAGAATCCACATCCAGATTATTATGATGATATCACTAGTCCTAGTGATTTAATAATGGTCTAAGATTGATAATATCTGCATAAATACTTACTTGGTGGGATTCTGCCATGCTAAACAGAAATGCACAAATATCATCCAGAGCCATAGGCAGGTTATCAGTTTTGGGTCCCTTCCTATGGCTGAGACAAGTGCCCAGTCACATTATGCACACTAAATTACCTCTCTGATGTTTGGACAATAGACTTCCTGTACATCTCACAATATGCAGAGAATATAATATGCATGATGATGATGATGATGATCACATAACCACCAGTGCTCACTCCAAAATATGGGGTGGGTGCAGGTTGGCTGGCTTGGCAGAAACCCTTAATACAGTGTGCTGATCCATTGTTATGTGAGCCTCACCTCTACTGCTGTACCAGATTGCTGGCCCTGACTGAGCCCCTGGCCATAGGCAGCTACATTATGTGTGATCAAGCTTTGTCTAAGTAACCCTGTTTTAGTCTAAACAAACACACACACACACACACACACACAAACACAATCACACACACAAAAAAACCACACCCACCACAACCCCCCACCCATAAAAACAAACAAAAAACACAAAACAGAATCTATCCATTGTGTTTTCCATATGTTGTCTGGCAAATGCAAAGCTAAATAACCATTTTTGATATTTCTAAGCTTACGTGGTTATTTACTAAACAGTGAAATATCAGGAATTCAAAGTGAATTTCAGATTTTCTTCAAATCTAGCTATTTTGGCCAACAATTTTAGATTAACTTTTAAAACCAAAAAGTTCCTCATAAATATTCAGCATTCAGAGCAATTAAGACAGTTATCAATACTAGACAGGGCTGCCTGTGTTAGATAATATTACAATATAATAATGAATTTAATTAAAACAATTTTACCTTCATGTATTTCAATATGTGAAATTGACACATGAAGGAAAAAAAATAAAAAAATTATATATATATTTTAAATCTAGACTTCCTCTAAAAATCAACTAAATTAGTCTAAATTTTGCAATTCAGCGTCCAATTCACAGTTTAATAAATAAATACTATTATTTCAGCTTTTGTTTTACGTTCATGAAAGAAAAACAAAAGGAAGTTGTTAACGTGCAAAACTATTCATACAAAATCTATTTTCATAACTACATGTGCCATAAAAAAAATAAATAGAAACTTATCACATGGTACTCTGCAAACACAAGGCAACAATCCGTACCAGCTCGTGAGTCAGGCTCTGTCGTGGAAAACTAACAGGACTATACATTTACCAATATTTGTTCTGATTATTCATGGACCCCGGATTGGAAAATTACCAAAAGGCTTTAAAACTGAATACAAATTAACCAATTTTATGATACATTATAGCAGTATCTGTACTTATGCTATATGGTGGGAACACTGAACTTTTTAAAGATAGATTTACAAATAGAAAAGCAAGTGCAGTAAATTTATAAGAGAGTTGTATTTTAAAATCACATTAAACATTTTAATAATTGGTATTAAAACTGTGGTGATACCAAAAAACTAAAAACCTCTACTGAAATAGGGAAAAATATATCATATATTGCAATGCTGAATCCCCATACCATAAGCCAAACAATTATATATATAAAAGTTGGTTCTATACAAGGCATCCGTGAATGAATGAGTGTGGATCTCAGCTCTCCCATAATGCAATGCAAATCATGCTAATAAGTCCAAAATACAAACACATAACCAAATTATTTTGCACTAAATATATATGTTGTGCACTCATTATATACACGATTCCGTTTTCAAATCTATTTAGGCTTTATCTGATTACATACAATTAAAATAACATCTGGTTAATTTTAAATTGGAGTGTGTGTGATCATTCAGGTATTGATCTATAAGTAATTCATGGACCAATAGTTACCCTGAACTTCAATTGTCTTATCTTTCCACACTGTTTCCTTCATCCTGATTGCTAATTTGTAATTAGAAAGGTTAAAAGAAAACCTGCTAACATGATCAAAGGATCAAGGACAGAAATGGTTTTAAAAAGGGGGAAGTCTCCCTTTAAAAATAAGTGTCATTTCCTGCTAGGAGATCGGGAAAAAAATATTTTCTACATTTATTTTCTGAAAAAGCCAAGTTACAAATTGCTACAAAGTAGCATTTTGATGCCACATAGGGAAACTGTCCAAGTTTTAAAAACACAAATTAATTCATTTTCGAGATAAGAAAATGCACTTTTTTAAAGAACAATAAATATTTAAATCCCAGATACTAATGTAAAGCTGTAGAATAATAAAATTATCATTAAAGTAAGCATGACTTGCTTGTTTTGTAATGTGTGAATTTAAAAACAGTAAGCTTTCAATTTTTTGTCCTGTACCCTTTGATACACATTGTTAACACAGATCAATTTATATTATTTCTTGGCCCAACTTATCACTATGCATACTGCAAATGCATTGACAGGGGTCAGATATTTGCTAATTGTGCAGTACACACACACACACACACACACACCTTTCATTTTTCTATTCCTTATAATTCTCTAAAGCTAGCAAGCACGTTGTACTCGGTTATTATAAATATCAATTCAAACTGAAAAAAATATGCAGAAATTATAGATGCAAAAAAATAAATAAATAAATAAATAAAAAAGGTATTAAAAAGGGTACACTCCAAGTACCATAACCACTACAGTGAAGTCCCATGCAAGACGTTTTGGCTCTCTCTGATAGATGTCAACAGCGCCTGATGGATCAGAGTTAAAAGTCAAACCATTAGCAACGGTTTGACTATTTACATTGGGAGGGTGCTAGGGCACTCCTGATACCATAACCACTACAGCACAGTGGAGTTTTTACGCTGCTTGGAGTGGTCCCTTAAAAAAAACCATTCTCTGATTTGTGAATTTCCCATAGAGTATCCCCACAAATATCGCCGCATATGATCAACAGCTAAGAATTTGTTTACAGAAATATGTACTGTAATAACGCAACACAGTGAATGGAAGCTACAGCGCTAGCATTGAATCCAATATTCTTACCGAGTTCTGAGAAAACAAAATGTGATCTGTAGCAAATAAAATGTGTATTTGTTTTTCAGATACACGCTATGATAAGCATTAAAATGCAGGATATAATAACAGTATAGACCAAAGCACAGGCAAACTGAATCATTCCGCTCTGTTCATAATTAAAGACTCCTTAATAATCTGAGTCCATTCTACAATTAAAAAAAAAAAAAAAAATTGTTTTATTGTTGCTATCCCCAAGGACACAGTCAGACTACGTGGATTGAAATTATTTAAAGCATAATAGAAAGAAAAAAAAAAGAAAAATGAAAGTAATCTACTACAATTGAAATACATTTTAGTTAACAAACCTGTCTTGACACACATACTTGAAAAGAAATACCTATATCAGGAAACTGCAACTCCCAACACAGGGTTTCCTTTAAAAGGGCTGTACATTATTGGAGTTGTAATCCTTATCAGAATTACATGTTGGCAGGGATATCCATTATATGGACACAGAGAGCTATTTATAAGGAGCAATTGTGTTGTAATGTTCTAAAAAGTAGAGCAGTTACCATGGAAACAAATGGAATGTTACTTCCCATTTATCTAATTTTTTTGATTGAAAAAAAAAAAAAAAATTCTTTATTTCAAAATATATATATTTTTTTTTTACAGGTTAAATATACCTGCGTCGCAGCGCAGAGTCAGACATTCTTATAAACCTTTATACATTGCTAGCAGTCCGCATTGGGCCTTTTTAAGCGGAGACCTTTATTAGTGCCCAAGTACAGACTGCCAACCATACATACAGTAATGCACCCATATATTCCCAGAAATAAGAATAATTCATGGGGACTTTTAGAACTTTACAGCACAATTGCTCTTTACAAGTAACATCCATAGTTACTATAAACTTGCATTCTGGGACATTAAGGTTTCATTTACATCACAGCGAAAGTTGAAAGTACAGGGTTAAAATTAAAGAAAAAAAAATAACAATCCTCTTTTTTGTTACCTTTATTTTGGATCTTGTGGGTGACCTTTTGTCTTTAAGATCCAGAGGTTGCTCTTCCTGATCAGATTCTCTGGTCTTTTGATCTGCAAGTGGTGATAGGCCATCGGTGGTCTGGTGGTCAGTGCTTTCAGGGAGGGTGGTAAAGCTGGATTCACTGCCCCTTCTTTCAGGGCTGTTTTCTGCATTGTCACTGGCACTGCTGCTGTTACTCCAGCTATCTTCTGTGACATATTTTAAGATGCAGTCTATGCTGTCTGGACACAAAAGGTAGGGAGGAGGTGAGAAGATAAGCAACACAAAGGCATAGCATCACCTGCAGCTAACAGTTAGATAAAGTGACTTTTTTTTTTTTTTTTTAAATGAAAGGCAAATATGTAGAACTGAGCTCTTTTCCCCAGAAGCAACAATCGTTAGAAAGGGAGGGGTAGAAGAAAGGGAGGGGGGAGGTGGAGCAGGTGAGGGATTTTCATTCTCCTAGTGTTTGAACTGAGGGTGTAGTCTCTGTGTAAGGCCCTCATTAACAAGTCAATGGCACAAAGCAAACACACACACACAGAGGTAGTTAGCAGCTAAAGTGATGGCGTGGAGGGATCCGTTAGATGGGGAGATCAGTAACTGTACTGTAAATATAGACTTCTCAGAACTGACTATTTATCATCCCCAAAGTCCACCTCTCTACCATCCTCCCTGATAGGCTGATCAGGGGCTATGAGCAGGTCATTGGACCCCTTCATTTATGGGGTTTGTCAGTAATTATGTTAAAAATGTAAGGTTGACAGAATTACAGTTATACAGGAAAAGTGCTGCCCTACAATATGTAGCATAGACTTGCTGTAGAAGGGAAATCATCGAGGGATCTTGAAGAATATGATTTCTCTAGAGAGGGGGAGGGGGAGAGGCATGAAATTTAGACTGCTCACATGATTTAAACAAATACAAATGTTTCACATACACCTTTACCTATCTACTCCCTGCAGCGGTTCTAGAACGTCGGAAAAGTATCTAGCAAGTACATTCCACTCTCTGGCCCTTCTCTCTCACTGAGCTTCAACTTTATGGTAGAGGAATGATTGACTGCCTCCATAACTGGTTGGAATACTTGTACTAGTGCCCCGCTATTACACGGAGCCCAATCAAACTAAATCCATTAAAAGTATTTCAAGGACAGTATTTTAACAGGATCATTCAAGTGTATATTGTGAGGTTATTTTTTCATTTGAATACGGTTTTAAAAAATATATATATATTTTTTAAAAGCCTCAAAAAACAAACGGTAAATCTGATTAAAACAAGGAACTCCAATTATTAGTATATATATTTTTTTTAAATTACTAAACAAATTACAAAACTGTATCCGGATCGTCCAAGCATATAATGACAATAACGTTAAAAAGATGGTAGTTCTGATTGATTCACTATATTCCTTACTTTAAGAGAATTTAAATTAATTTAGACTAGAATGGTCAAGTTAGGTTTTTTTTTCCTTCTTTTATTAAATCGGCACTTTTAGCCTAAACATTTAAATTCGTTTTTTCAATCCGCTAACATTCGGAGTTTAGTGAATAGACCCCATTTAGGGAGATATTTACCTGGGATGTAGGTGTCTGCTCGCTCCTCGTCGGGGAGTTCGTCCCAGCTCCGGATAGCGGGCGGTGGGGTCCTCCTCTTGACCAGGAAAGCTCTCGGCATGATGGTTTAGGTCCAGAAGGCAAGAGGTCCACTCAGCAGGAGCAGTCAGGTCTCAGCCGCCGATCTGCTCTCACCTTGCGCTCTACCTCTAAACTTTATTCCTCCTCCTCCTCTTCCCTCCTTTCTCCACTTTATGTGGCTGTCTGGACACGTTACTCCACTCAGAGCTCCAAAATACCTAGACCTGATCACCTTGATGGTAGTAGAGAACCTGCAAGGTGTTATGGGGTCTCTTCCTCTGGGACCTCACCATAGACACCTTACCCCCCCAAAAAAACTTAACACGAAGAAGGTGGAATAGAAAAAATGCACCAGGAACTGGAGTGGTGAGCATGCGTACTGCAAATATAACGGTGTCAACAAGCCTTCTCTACCTGTCCGACCGGTTGGGGCAGCTCAGTCTGTGTCCCTGCCCTTCCTCAGGTTCGGAGTATTTGCAGAAGAATGCAACGTCTGAGACAAGACAAAGCACAGACAGCATTGGCCAGGTCTAGGGAGACCCTCAAAGGTCAGCCCTTTTACTAATGACCTGGGCTATTTTGCATTTGTGCTTAAATTAAAGTCCATGAATAAAAGTAGTGGATAAATTTGTTAAAAATAAATAAATAAAAATTCTATTTGTGATTATAAAAAGAGACTTGTGTCCATCAAGTTCAGCCTTCCTCACATATGTTTTTTCTGTTGATCCAAAAGAAGGCAAAAAAAAACCCCAGTCTGAATATTATTATTATTTTGCATTTATATAACGCCAACTTATTCTGCCGCACTTTACAATATTATGAAAGGGGACAATTTAACAATAAATGAGACAATTACAAAATGTTACAGGAGTAAAAGGGTGAGTGAGGACCCTGCGCAAACGAGCTTGATCTTTGGAGATGCATAGTATGGTGTAAGATGAGCGTCTGATTTAATTTAAAATGATCCCAGTTTGCATCTTTTATTTGCCTGTATGCTATTAATTCATTATTTTAATGTGCAGTCAATTTCTATGCTTGTTCCACTGGTTCATATATACCTGTAGGATGTCTGTCAACAAATGTAAAATACTTTTGTGTAAAGACTCTGTGTAACTTTCCACTGGTCTTTCTGTATATATTGTATGGTGGAAGCTATGTGTGGTATACCAATAATATAAATAACTATACATGTTACTGTGTTCAGAATTAGAATTAGAGACATGGACAGTATTTGCAGTATAATCCCAGTAAAAGGGTGTAAATATCACAATCTGAAAGTTAAAATCAAAATCATTATTTATCATGTATATTAAGAGAAAGCAATGGATTTTAATTGGTTTTATTAATTACATTCAGCTAATATAAAATACAAAATGTTTAATGTGTACAGCGCTACGGAATTTGTTGGCGCTATATAAATAATAAAATAATAATAATAATGTGAGTTCTGTTTTCTCTGGCATTTCAAAGCTTTTTGTGTTTTTTTATATCATTTTTTTTTTTTACTGATTTATTGTGCTTTTGTCTGCATCTTATAGTGTAATAGTTTTTCAATAAAAACCAGGGATGTATATACTTATTCACTGAAGAATAATATGGTTATATAACATTTAAACAATTAAATGGCTGTCACAATGGAAACCGATGGAATGTCGCAATATTTAGAACTTTTCTCCAGAATTACTTTTTTATCAGAAACACCAATTGATTTATTTTCATTGATTTTTATTTATTCTTTTGCACCAGTGGGTCAAACAGTGTGCTCAACCCACTGTCTTATGACCCAAGACCCACTTTACATGTTAATTTAGATGTCCCCACTACATCTCACTGCATTAGTAGGTGTGAATGTGACTGATGTACATCACGGTTATCTAACATGTGGTATGTATATCCAGCATGATTCTTCTGATGTTTCCTTGTTAGTTTGATTGCAGACATTAATAATATTTCCTTGGCATTGTTAGTACAAGGGGTGTATTTTGAAAAGTTGACAGTAGAGGTTCTTGGCTGGAATTTGCTATTAGTGGTGCTCAGTTAGAAAATAATAGTTGAGAAAACCTGTTCTAGATGATAATCTTGGGTTGGGTGCATTTGCTCTAGATACAGAGAGAAGAAAATGTTTTTTTTTTCTCCACTCAGCTCCAGAGAACAAAAGGACAGTTAGAAAAGCATTCAACGGCTGATATAAATGCCATTGATTTTAGAATAGAGGGGAGTAGACATTCAGCAAAATTAAGCCTAACATAGAGAAGACTGTTTGTTTGATTTTTTTTTTTCAGCTTGGCTTCATTCATACCATCTTTTGAAGAGCTGATATAATGTATTTAATTTATAAAGGTATCATGTAGACTTGTGCACAAATGCCTGGTAAACTACCGTCTTTCCCCGAAAATAAGACTGGGGCTTATATACATTTTTCCCCTGAAAAACGCACTAGGGCTTATTTTCAGGGGATATCTTATTTCTGGAAGCAACGGTAGCAAGCATGTGCTAGAAAGCAGGTCTACATTCAGGGGAATTCCCCCGACCATAGACGAGTTCACTAGGGCATGGAATCCCGCAAATCTATGTTCGGGGAAACTTTTCCAAATATAGATTAGCTTACTCATGAATAGAATTCAGCGACTCTATGTTTGGGGAAACTTTCCCGAACATAGATTAGTTTAGTCGCGAATGGTATCCTGCAAATCTATGTTCAGGGAAACTTCCCCGACCATAGATTAGTTTACTCGCATATTGGAATCCCGCAAATCTATGTTAGGGAAAATTTTCCAAACATTAGCAAACTAGCGACTATGGCTTATTTTTGGGGGAAGGGCTTATGTTACAAGCATCCCCAGAAAATAAGCTAAGGCTTATTTTCAGGGGATGTCTTCTTTTTGGGGAAATTGGGTATAGATGAACGAATTGATATGTTCTGGGCACCAAATGGCTCATTTCTTTCTTTTTTTTCTAGGTTAACAGGTATTTGAATGTCCATGCTGTAATCTAGAGCAGGGATGTCAAAAGGTAGATCTCTAGATGTTGTAAACTTCAACTCCCACAATGATTTACTTGTCTTTTAAAATGGCAAAGCATCATGGAAGATGTAGGATTTTTAAAGCTACATGGACAGCGATTGTTCCCCAAAAAGCTAATGGAATTTGTCACACTATCTTCTACACCAAACACAAATTTGAGATAATTTAAGCACTATTTGATATGTTAAAAGGTTCAGTACATATGTTTTAATGTTTATAATGATGGAGTTTATATAACCTTGATTTATTTGAAGATGCAGGTTAATTGGAATCTATAGTCCCAAAAATAACAATAGTTTGTGAATATAGGTTCCATTATGTCCACCTCCTTTGCTTTAACAAAAAGTAAGTAAAACAGACTGCTCGCCTCTTTTCCAGTTCCAGGACTCCTCTGCTGCAGGTGCGTGCTCCACCTTCAAAGATGTCAGCATGTCTTCGCTATCTTCTCCAATTCATTGCTTCTCACAGAGAAGCAATGGATTGGAGGTACCCATGTGCAACCAAATGCTGCTATCAGTAGAATTTCATTCCTAGGCCGAGTTTTAGATGGTCTGGAGGAAGAAGTGCCTTTTGTGGCTGTTATGAAGACAACCGCTAGAGGTGGATTCAGCCTATAGTGGTTGTGTTTATAAAATGTATTTAAAAAATGCAACATTTTACTTTGCAGGGTTAAAATGACAGTATTACTGCACCCAGATCACTTCATTGACTTCATTCATTGGCTATAGTGTTTATTTAAAGGAGCACTATAGGGTCAGGAACAAAAACATGTATTCCTGACCCTATAGGGTTAATACCACCATCTAGCCACCCATGCCTCCCTAAATATACTAAAATCGTACTTGTTTTCAAGTCTGGAGCTGCTTGCATTGTCCCTGTTTCATTTAGATCTGCCTGCTGACATCAGCAGAAGTGGTAGCCTGATCCAATCACAATGCTTCCCCATAGGATTAGCTGAGACTGACAAAGAGGCAGATCAGGGCAGAGCCAGCATGATTCAAACACAGCCCTGGCCAATCAGCATCACTAGGCTGTAATGTAAACATTGCATTTTCTCTGAAAAGACAGTGTTTACGGCAAAAAGCCTAAAGGTAATGATTCTACTTACCAGAACAAATCCAATAAGCTATAGTTGTTCTGGTGACTATAGTGTCCCTTTAAATCTGGATTTGTTAAGAATTGCTAATAGAATTGTAAATTACAAACAAGCGGAGATGGGAAAATAAATCTAGACTCTTCTATTGCAGATTAGATATTTTGGGCTAAAATATTAGTTCTCTTTTAAATTCTCCACAAATTGTGGTTTAATGAATAACTTTCTCCATTCAAATCAAGATGGCCCTCAACAGATGAGTACAATGGCAAGAATACTGGGATCGTGTTCACAAGGGTGTATTTCAAGAATTCAAGGTGGGTGGTTTTTAAAAAGATACATAATCCACAGGTTAAACAGATAGTATGCATTGTGCAGTTTTTTGAAGAAAGGAACGCAAAAAAACTATACACTCCTTCCTGGAGGAGCTGACAATTTTGGCTCCACAATCTCAGGTGTATAGACTGTTGAGTTCTACTGGTATTCCAAAACATTGAACAGTGATTTTGTGTGTCTTTCTACAATAAAATGCTCAATGCATCCTACCTGTCAAACCTGTGGCCGTTGCATTGGATACAGTTTCTTGTAGGTTGCAGGATTCTACCATGGAGTACCAGAAGCTGCCCCAGGCCCCACTCCCCTCCCCGCCCCCCATTCCCCTCAAGAGTGCTATACCACTTTATTTCTTGTGAGTAAAGCAAAATCTTGTAAATAATATGTAGGCTTTAAGTTCATGTTTAAACAATATTTACACACATAATATTCACCATATGTGCATCACACATTTTGCCTTCAGTAAGTTAGTCAAACAGCCAGTATGCGCTAAAGTTGACTTAAATTGCGTTTTAGTTCATTGCCCTAAAGGCTCTGTCTCCTTTCTGATTGTCATACTTACATACCTCTCTTAACTCGGTTTAAGGGATG